GGGCCCAGACCCTGCTGATGAGGAGAAGCAGAGCACAGACAGCCTGAGGTAGCTCTGCCAGCCCAGCTGAGACACCTTTGCCCCTTGTGCAATTGTTTTGCTAGAAAAGGAAGCAGGTTTCACTGCCTCCAGTTGTTCAGCCTCGTCCTCCTCCTCAAACTCCCCTGGCAGGTCCAGCAGGCTGAAATCCACCCACACAGATGGTTGAGCTGCTTTGGTGAAGTTCTCCTTCCAGCTGGACTGACCTTGTTATCTTTGCTGTGGGCTCCACGTGCTGCTGGACTCTCCTCAATTTGCTGATGATCCTTTTTGCACCACAGAGGGCAGGAACAGGGAAGGGACTTGGCAAAGAGCAGGGAAGGCAGAGGATGCCCATGAACTGGAGCTACCTGTGGCAGCAGCCCTGTCTGATGTGTCCTCAGCACTGAGTGGCCCTGGGTGGAGCTGCCCTCAGTCCAGGTTTTACACCCACCTGAAGCTCTGAGATGTTGATCTGCCCCTTGTTTGTAAAGCTGAGCCTGGCCCTGGTGGAAGGGGAGTGCTGGCAAGGACACCAGAGCACACCTGGGGTTCAGAGCCACGGGGAAGGAGCTTGGTCCTTGTTAACAAAACAGCCTGGAGGGGAAATTTAGGTGAGAAAGGCAAATGGAGAGAGCAGAGAGGACACAGAAAGATCTACCAGAGCTGTGAAGACAGAAAGTGCAGAAATATTTCTTCCTCCTACAAAGCTGCTCCATCAAGGCTCCCATCCATGGACACAGCTGGAGGAACAGTGGCACTTGTGTGCCAGGACAGGCTTCTGACTGCTGTACAAGAGAGAACATAGAGCAGCACCTGTGTGTCACCCACCACAAGTGGAATAAAGGCTGGAGACCCTGCAGAGCCCTGTGTGCTCTGCCTCCAGAGAGACTCAGAGCAGCCAGGTCCAGGCTGTGGCACTGCCCTGCCCCACAGAGCCCCGCTGCTGGGCACCTCCAAACACACCTCCTGAGACAGCCCCAGCCTCAGGAGAGCTCAAATAGCATTTAGAGCAGACAGAAACACCTTTAATGCACCTACAGGCAAAACTGGGGATGTTCTCTACCCTCAAAAGGCTGAATTATACTGAAAATATAAAAAAGTAATTAAATAACTAAGAAAAAATTATCTCTCTCCCAGCTGAAACCAGGACAGGAGTTAAGAAGATTTTTTTAATGTAATTTCATTTTCTGGGCTAGATGCAACTCTTCCAAAGTTGAAGACAGACATTCATCCCAAGGAGCTGGATAAGGGAAACTTCTCTTTTACAGGGGAAGTTACAAACCAAATTCCCCAGCACACACAACTCACCAGAATTAACCTAAAGGAGACTGCAAAGCCTGAATCTTGCAGCAGCTCTGCCAGAAAAGTCTCTTAGAGAGAGATAACTCAGTTTTCTGCTGGGCAGCAGCTGCTCCTGCCTTTTTCAGACACTCCTTTCAATGTTCATCTTCCCTCCAGCCACCTGCACCACTCCCCATTCATTGTCCCAGGCCATTTTCCAGGGGGTGCAGTGCCCACAGCACCAGGAACAGGAACAGGGTGTTCTGCCCAGGAGCAGATGCTCTGGAGCACCCAGGAGTGTGAGGATGCCTGACAATGGCTTCAGTTGTCCACCTCTTGTTATCCTGTAAATCACAGCCCAACTGAGCCTGAAGAGCCTCAGTGAGTTCCTCAGGAAAACCCACAGACCTGAATTGTCTGTAAAAATTCTCTCTGCAGTCAGCTCTGTGGGTTTGGAGAGAATGCACGGTTTGTTCGTGCCACAGGGATCCCACCCGTGCTGTACAGACAAACTGCCACCTCCAGGTGTGAGCAGGGAGCGATTCCCGGATTTCAGGGCACGCAAGGCTGCACCACCCTCTAGTGCACACCCACAGCAGTGCCTGTGCTGAAAGACTGGGAAAAAATTCCCTAATCCAGCCCGTCTGAGCCTCCCCCGGAGCTGGGCCGGCAGAAGGGACAGAACTCCTCTGAGAGGGAACCCCAGAGCAGAACCGAGGGGATCCTGGCCTTGGCACAGGGAAAAGCCACGGCCCTGCACCCCAGCACCGAGCACATGCAGCACCCTGCACCCCGTGTCCCTGCAGCCCAGATCCCTGCAATCCCAGATCCCACACCCTCAGATCCCTGGAATTCCAGCTCCTGCACATCCAGCACCCCAGATCCCTGCATCCCTGCAATCCCAGACCCTGCACATCCAGCACCCTGCACCCCAGATCCTTGGCAGCCTAGATCCTTGGGATGCCAGACCCCCACACCCTCAGATCCCTGGAATCCCAGACCCTGCACATCCAGCACCCTGCACCCCAGATCCCTGCACCCCAGATCCCTGCATCCCTGCAATCCCAGACCTGCACATCCAGCACCCCAGATCCCTGCATCCCTGCAATCCCAGACCCTGCACATCCAGCACCCTGCACCCCAGATCCTTGGCAGCCTAGATCCTTGGGATGCCAGACCCCCACACCCTCAGATCCCTGGAATCCCAGGCCCTGCACATCAAGCACCTTGCACCCCATACCCTGTATCCTTGGAATTCCAGACTCTGCACATCCAGCAACCTGCACCCCAAACCCCTGGGATCCCTGGCAGCCCAGATCTCTGGAATCCCAGACACCACACCCTCAGATCCCTGGAATTCCAGCCCCTGCATATCCAGCACCCTGCACCCCACACTTGTGGATCCCTGTCAGCCCAGATCCCAGGAATCCCAGATCCTGCACATCCACACCCCAGATCCCTGGAATCCCAGCCCCTGCAGCCAGCTCAGCTCCTGCCATGCTGGGTTTGCCTGCACAACAGGGGTCTGTGTAACTCCTGGCACATTCCTCAAAACATGGAAGCAGATTTTCACTACCAAAATGTGCAAGCAGGAGATGTTCATTACTAAAATTGTTTTCTGGAAATTGTCTCCTCACTCTCTCGAGCAGCAGCAGGCCAGGAGAGCACGGACTGGCAGCCACTCCCTCTCCGCTGCCCAGCTCTCTCCTCCTCAGCCAAACTTGCCACCAGCACTGGGAATGGCCAGTTCATATTCTGGGATTCAGATTCTTCATGGATGTAAAACACTGGGAAAAATCACCATTGTGTGTGACAGTACTGCAGGCACAGACCTTTGTACCAAGCAGTAAAAAAATAACCATGCTGGATGACAAATTCCTGCTGCAGGAGAACACCACATCAGCCTCGGGATATGGGGAACCTCAAGTGACCAAGAGAATCCCCAAAACAATCCTAAAATAACCTCCAAGTCTGAGCAGAGCATGGGCCTGAGCAGGTTCCTGGCCAAGGTTTGGCAGCAGTGTGGGATGTTTTTTGGTCTAAGTTACCAGGACAGTTTAAACAGTTTGAAACCAAAACTCTGCAGGAAAGACCCATTTGTTACACCCAGGTCCTGTTTCCAACAAATCCAGTATCAGAAGTGCTGAGGCTCCCAAAGGCAGCCCTAACCCCAGGAGCTGCAGTGGAGACAAGAGGAGCACAGGAAATGTGGGATACAGGACAGTGCACCCGTGTCAAACACAAACATCTCCCACCTTTCCTGTTCCACCCCAGGGTATCACGAGTTCACCAAAGGAGAAATAAAGCACCAGGGAGGTGAAGGGAGGGTGTCACTGCCCTCACACAGCATTTCTGAGCTCAGGAGGAAGAAAACCACACAGAGGGGGAGGGAGCAGCACTGGGCAGGGAGTTCCACCCCTCTACGTAACTACTGTGTTTGTTTGGCTTTTTTGGACACAGCTTCAGGAAACACAAGAGTCTCCTGAGCGTGACCTGGCACTCAGAGTGCTCAAGTCCCAGGAAACAAGAGCTGATGGGGGGAAAAAAAGGAGGTTTAGGCTGGATATCAGGACAAGGTTCTTTCCTCAGAGGGTGGTTGGGCACCAAACAGGTCCCTGCACACTCCAGCTGAGGCAGAAGCAAAAGCAGAAGAGGAACAGAAACAGTGACACAAGTGAGCCATGAAGAACAGCCTGCCAGCCTGGAGAAGAGAAGCTCTGGCTGACCCAACTGCAACCTTCCAGTGCCTGAAGGGAGCCTTCGAGGAAGGGGGAGACTCTTTACAAGGGCTTGGAGTGAGAGGACACAGGGAATGGCTCCCACTGCCAGAGGGCAGGGATGGATGGGATATTGGGAATTAGGAATTGTTCCCTGGGAGGGTGGGCAGGCCCTGGCACAGGGTGCCCAGAGCAGCTGTGGCTGCCCCTGGATCCCTGGCAGTGCCCAAGGCCAGGCTGGACAGGGCTGGGAGCAGCCTGGGACAGTGGGAGGTGTCCCTGCCCATGGGAGGGGTGGCACTGGATGATCTGAAAGGTCCTTTCCAACCCAGGAAATTTCTATGATTCTATTTTTTCACAAACTGAATCTCACTCCACCTACACTCAAGACCTACTGTCACTGAGGAACACCAGAGCCTTGCTCTTTGTAGCTGGCTCCACGACTCACTTCATGCTACTCCTCTGAAGAAAAGTTGGGAGGAAAGGGGAGAAACTGGTCCAATTTCTGGCTCTCTTTGTGAAAGTCCATCTGAGAAGAGGCTGTTGACTTGCTGCCCAGGTTGGTGGCAGCACTGGACACCTTGACAGTGCAGCACATCTTACCATGTGCCACAAGAGCTGGAACCCCAAACAGGAACTGGTTTCAGTGAAGCTCATCTCCTCTGACTCTTCCTCCTCTTGAGCATCTTGTCCAGACACCCCGAGAGGCAGACCAAGGCCAAAGGAAGCCACGATCAGCCCCAAGAGCCCACACCACCTGCTCAGCCACACCAGGGCTCCACACTCACTGAGCAGACTTTAAAAACACAGGATGCCACGCTTAAAAATATGCATGTTCTTTTTTTCTTTTAAAAATGTACAGTCAGATTTCAAGTGGACCTACAAGAAGACACTCAGCTATCTTTAAGAAAAGTAAACCCTGCAATGCACTGCATACAGTTTTCTAAGCAGGCAGAGCCAGCGACTTGGGGGAGCTGCAGCGTTTCCTGAAGGAGCTTCAGTGGCTTTGTTTTTGTTTCCACCACGTGGGCAGACACTCAGAAGGCAGCAGAGGCTCAGCTCTCAGCCCCAGCTCAGCGTGAGGCTGGAGTGGGCACGGTGGGCAGGGGCAGCTCCATGGAGGGAGTCTCAGTCACTTCAGCTGGGCTGGGCTTGCGGAGCTCCAGTTTCTCACTGAGCTGGTTGTAAAGCTCCTTCACAGCTTCCCCACTCTGCAGGATGAGAATCAGGGACAGGGAAACAGGACAGTCACACTCCATTCTAGCCAGAGCACCAAGTGAGCTTCACCCTGTGTGTTTAACACAAACCAACACAGGAGGAGGAAGCCACAAGGTAATTAATTAATATGGCCACAGCTTGGAACACTTGGAAAGCAGAGCTTGTGTTCCATTAAACAATGTCTGGAAAGGCAGCTGCTTCACCTGCAATCAGTATTCCCCTTCTCCTGCTTCCCTTCCTACCTGCTTGGTGGGCTCCAAAGCTTTCTGGAGAGACTCCAGTTTGGCTGGGGCCACTTTGTGATGCAGATGCAGCAGCAGCCTGAGCACATGTCTGTGCACGTTCTCCTTCCTGCAAGAGCCATTTGAAAGCACAGTAACCAAGACAAATATCTTGAGAACAAGGAAGCCAGAGCAACAGAATAACTCACTCCACCACAGACTTTGTTGTAATTATCCAAAACCCCTGAGAATTGGAGCTTCTGTAAGGGGCTAACTTAGTATAAGCACTAACACTGCCTTAGACCTTCAAGGATTAAAGGAATTGTTCAACAGGAGTGGATTACCTGCACAACCATGAGGAGGGAGGGGGAGATTTTAAGCATAGAGTGTGTGGAGGAAGCAGCAGCAGATGCTGCTCTGCTCCAGCAGGAATTTCAGCCACCTTTAGGGAAGCTTTCTGGAGGCTGACCTTGTCTGCAGGCCAGCAGCTAAGCCAGAATGTGACCAGAGGTAACAACAGATTTTTGCACACTGCTGATACTGCAAAGACCTGAAGTTAACTCTACATAGCCAGAGCTACTGCAAAGCCTGAAGGATATTCTCCTTTGCAACTCCACCTCAGGGATAATGAATAGCAGTTTAGATAATAATTCACAGTCAAGACATAACCATTTTGCTGATAAAAACTTCATCCTAAAACATACACCTTTCCTTAAAGGAAAACACCATCAGGCTGATGTTTCCACTGCTTGTGAAGAAATTGGTGAACTACTAAACTATTGTTCAAAGCAGTAAAAGCTCAGTAAAAGTCAGGCATTCTGTAAACTCCCTCTCTCCAGTGAGGAAAATCTGCTTTACCTGGAGCAGGCAGTGAGGAAGAAGCCATCAAAAAGACTGGTGCAGAACTCCTCGAGTGCAAACTCATCACTGAGCAGGGTGAGGTTACCACTGAGCAGGTGCAGGAAAATGTCACTGAAGGCCAAGTCACTGAATGTCTCAACTATGAAACATGGAAAGAGACAGAGACTGACAAGGATGTGCCAACACCTGTCCACAGAGCTCCCGTTCCTGCTGAAAACCCTGCAGTGAGGTTTCATCATAGAATGCTTTGGGTTGGAAAGGACCTTAAAACTCATCCAGTGCTACCCCCTGGCACCATCAGGGACACTTCCCACTGTCCCAGGCTGCTCCAAGCCCTGTCCAGCCTGGCCCTGGGCACTGCCAGGGATCCAGGAGCAGCCACAGCTGCTCTGGGCACCCTGTGCCAGGCCTCTCCCCTCTCACAGGGAAGAATTTCTTCCCAATATCTAATGTAAGCCTACTTCCTTCCAGTCATTTTTTCTCATTTCCTTTGGTAACATGCAGCCCAGGCAGGTGGCTTTGATCCTTCAGACATAAAAGATGAGGAGCAGATTGCTCCAGAGCTCTGCTGCAATTCACCCCAGAGGAGACATTGAACAAGATAATACTGATGAAAAAGTAAGGCTGTGTTCAGTCCTATTTTGTTACCAGTTTTTCCACCACACAAAGCCAAGTCCCAGCAACTTCTGGCCACCTGCAATCATTGTGGGCAGCAGCAGAATTGGGGCACCTGCTCTGTTATCCTTCAGATTCATTCCAAATGGTTCTCAACTGATCTCATTGTTAATGGAGGCCTTGATGTAAGGAACCACTGATCTCAGCACTGTCCCTAAACTCTCACATCAGCAGAAAATTGCAGAACTCAAACACTCCTGCAAGGACTCACAACTAAGTCACCAGAAGAGCCAAAGGCAGAACACCATGTCTGCCATCCCTGTCACTCCAGGTTTAGTGGCCTCTTGGGTGTCCAATACAAGGCAAACAGAAGATCAAACAAAAACTTACCTAGTGCTGGCAGGAGCCTCAGAAAAGCATTCTTGTTCCTCTGTTTGGTGATGTGGAGGATGTAATACAGCCCAATCTCACAAGCTATTCTGTTCTCCTGCAGGAACCTGTTATGGCATAAGCAAAGTTTATTCATCAATAAAGCTATTTTTTTTTTCTAATTTAAAGATGTTTAAAGTACTTTTGGGATAGTTATCAAGCAGGTAGAGCAGTGGCTAATCTCAAACCCACTGAAGAGCAGCTATTCAGTGAGTGAGCAGATGGATCATCCCTATTTTCACTACCACACTCCAGAAACACTGAACATTCAGCAAACAGCTGGATTCAACTGTCAACACTTATAATGTATTCCTGATAAATGTGCTGTTCAAAATGGGCCTTAGAAGAAGCCCAAATACTCAAAAATTATACAAAATCCAATAAGTTTTAGTCTTCCAAAAGTCAAACATCAACACTGGAGAGGAGAGCACAAGAACCTGGACCCAATATCTCAGATTCTGGCACACAGACAAGAATTGTGCTAGAAATCAGTGGAAGAGCTGAACACAGCAGAGCACACAGAGGTTCCAATTATCTTTCTGATGTCCCTGGAGTGACAGGTTGTCAGATAGAGAGTGTGTGTCAAAAATGCCAACTTTATGATTTACAATAGTGCTCTTCAACATGGGCACTCATCCAGCTGCACCCAAATATCACCCAAACCTCAGCATTCAATGCCTGGGAAGCTGAACAGAAACACCAAATACTCTCATATTCAATGAGAGAATGGTTCATTATAGAAAATATTACTTTATGTGCATAAATTTTATTTGAGGGAGCACAATAGAAACCTGTTTTGTTAAAAGGGAAGATCAAACTTGATGAATTAGCACTGAATCCCATCCCAGGAAGCCTTGCCTTCAGCACAGGCAGCTTCCCCTGCCTGCTCTGGCTGGCTCCCTGCTGCTTTGGTGCCAGACCCTGCAGAGGGTGGGGCCAGGCACCTACTTGGTGAAAGCCTCGGGAATGGCGCTGGGGTAGGGGATTGGTCCCTTCTCCTCCGAGGGCAGCTTCTGATCCACGGTGAAGGTGTGGTCATCCACCACAAAGGACATCAGCAGGGGCAGGAACCTGGTGATCAGCTCGGCTTCCTTGGAGGGAGGGAAGGACACAGGGAAGAGAACAAACCATCATCAGCCACACTATGCCACCCGATGGTCCTGAAGTGCTGTGACAGGAGCAAGGCAGTGCGAGGAGCCTCATCCTGCACTGAGGAAAACCAGCTTACAGACATCCAGCTTCAGTCAAAATTCCTGAATAATTCACTTCCACACATTCCACGGTAATTAGGAAAACTCTGCTTCATCTCCCTATAGGAACACTCCTGCTCAAACCCTTTCTTTGGATTGTGTAGCATTTCTCCTGAGGCCCTTCCCAGCACGGCTCCAGGCACGGATGTGTTCAGGATGACATCAAACTGCTGATACCAACAATCACTGACTCCCAGCATGGCCCAGGCTTATTTGTGGTAACCCAACCACAAATAAATCAGATTTTAAAGACTGATTCAGAGACTCCCTTGGAAAAAAATTGAGCATTTTCCCTTATAGGTTCATGAGAGAGCACAAATCACAGCACTACCTTCAGAATCACTGGTTACTCTCACTGCTACAGTCCCAGCATTGTGCACACCCTCCCTGGGTGAATTTAAATAGCCCAGCAGCCAGGAGTGAATGCATTTTGGAGACTTCAAATGTGCCCCTAGATGTTTATAAAACATTTACTGCCTTATAGTTCAGAACAGAAACAGCAAATTCCTCCTGAGGAACAGCCCTGCTGTGCAACACCAGGGCTGGCCCTCCTGCCCTCAGCTGAACTACACCAGGGATTCCTGGAACACTGGGAAAGGATTTCTAAAGCGTGCCTTATAGTTCAGAACAGAAACAGCAAATTCCTCCTGAGGAACAGGAGGGAAAGGATTTCCAAAGCATGGAAAGATTAGTTTCAATGTGGCACTACATTAAACTGCTGTAACAGAGAGCTGGGAGGGAAAAAACATTTTTCTTGTCAATGAAAAGCTTCTGAACTGCTACCAGAGTTTGAGACCAGTCTTGGAAATCCTGCTTTCCGCATGCAAGACGTGTTCTACAAACCCAGGAGTTGTGTGCAAGATTCCAGGAAAAATGAGAGAGCAATGAGCAACCAGGGGAGTATTTAACAGAGGTACAGGCTGGTTGTAGAACAGTAAGGACCAGGCACCCATGGAAATAAAAAGGTGGGTAATGGGAGCTCTCAGCATGTCCAGAACAGCTGCTCTGTGACCACTGTTTTTTCCCAAGAAAGCTCTGATGAGACATTTGGAGAACAAATGTTTAATCAGGAATATCATAAAATAATAAACAAGTCTAAATTCGATTAATTGTGTTAATTTCTTAACATCAAAAGGGCTCACCATTTTTGGTTCCTTGAAGACTTGGCTGTCAATCATGTCCCAGGCCCCCTGTCCCAAAGACAGCATCCTGAGGAGCAGCAGCAGATCCGGGCTTTCCTCCAGTGTTAAGGGGAGAAGAAAAACAGCTATTTTGATCTTCACATAAGATATTTATTTGGAAGCAATGGTTTATATTCAAAGCTGTTCTGGATTAGCAGCTTTATCCAAGACTGCTAAAGGCATTCAGTTCAAGTTAATTGAAAACTGATCCTCAAATGGGCATCAAATAACTGCCACACCTCAGGGTTTGGGGGGGGCTGTAAATTTGTAATGCACCAGGAAGTTTGCAGCTACCTGAGCACATCTTTTTAAAATGTGTCCAGCCCAATTAGTGCACTAGAATATAATGTGTGAGAGGATAAACCAAGTCATCTCAGCAGAAGAAAGGAGGAGAAAGGGTGTGTAAGAATGGATTGTTTGTGTTCTGAAACCCAAAGGACTTTCAGTTCCAAACTGTCACAAGGAAGTTGCTCCATGCAACAAGAACATTTAACAACTCAGGGATAAAACAGCAAGTGGCTCCCATTGTTGAGACACCTGTCAGGGTGCCCTTCTTTAACCCTTCAGCTCCTCCTGCAGACTCCACTTGCAGGAATTGTGTTTTATCTCAGCCACCAGACCAGAACTGTGCAAACAAACCTGTGGCATTCATGGTGGCAGGAGAAAGGTGCTGCTGTCACACAAACTGATGGAGGGACAAAGCAGGGAGGCACAGATTCTATACATTATTCTGTATTTGCACAGCTGCCAGCCAGAATGAGCCATGCAAAGAATTCATGGCCAGTTTGGAGAGTTCCAAAATGCCCACCATGTCTAAAGAGCTCCTGCAGAGCTCTGCAGCAGGTGCTGCAAATGGACAGGAATCATGTTTCCCTTGTTCCAACTGCCACATTTGGGAACTCAATGAGACTTGGATGGTGCCACTCCTTCCCTGATGGCTGCCAGTCAGCCTAGAGCACAGTTCAGGTTAGCTACACAAGCTGCAATGCTTACCCTGGGTAAGGTGTCCTGCCCAACCAGGTCTTGCAGGTGCCTTATGGTGCTCAAGGCTAAGGTGTTAATGGCAAAGGGATCACACAGGATCATTGATAAGTCCCTGAGAAGAAGTAAAAACCAAACACTTATCATACATAACCAACAACCCCATTGTACAGGTCCAAACCCAGCTGGGTGCACCTGATGAACCTTGTCCTGCCTTGTAAAGAAGTAACATTCATGGTGGTTTTGTGTGAAAGAACACAAATGACAATTGCTGAAAGTCTTCTGCACTGAGATCAAGCACAAAATCCCCCACAGCCAGCTGAAGATCTGCTGGGAGACAGTGCAGCCCTGGTGGCCCCAGCTCTTCCATCTGGCAGGTTTTAAGCATCTCCAGAGTGCTGAGGACAGAAAGGTCTCAGAGGCTTTTGAAAAACAACAAGTAAAAGTAAATTCTTAAATAGTTTAAAATACCAATGGACAAAATCTGAAAGTACCAGCTAAATAAAATACTGTGAGGGCAACCTTCCAGAAACCTAAGTGTAGATCACAGCAGGGTTGTCATTTGAAGCTAATGAAGTACTTTAACTGACAAACATCTCCAGTCCATTTTCTCTGGGTTTAAAGCCAAACAAGTCATTCATAAGTTATTCTGACACCTTAAGAAAGGCTCCTGAATTTTCTTATGAGGCCACAGGTGAGACTCAAGGGTGGCAAGTGAAGCAGTGCAAGCTCTGCCACCAGGACAGTGGGTGCTTGGCTGTGCCCCAGTGCACTAAGGGATGTTTGGGATGTGACTGCACAGAGGGGCTGCTGGAGGTTTGCTGGCTTTAGGGAAGAATCAACACCTGGCAGATGTTGTGAGTGCTGGGAAGCCATTTTCAGTTTCCCAATGAGCAGCCCCAGTGCCTTACCCCAACACTTGTTCTTGTCCTTTCTTCACCCCATCCAGGAATCCTTGCAATTCCCGAGCTCTCTTGTTGTCCACGAACTTCTCCCGAATGCAGGCGTCGAGGCACCAGGTGAACTGCCAGCAAATGGAGGGAGCTTTATGAACTCATTAAACCAGCAATAAAACTCATGATGCAAAAAACAGGCTCAGAATGACCTCGAAATATCTGCAATTGAGATGCTTCATTAGTGCACCTACATTAATAGTACCACACTGGTGACAAACACAGAGGTGAGAAAGGCCAACACCCCAAAAGGAGGTTAGGAATGCCCTGGGAAGTTAACCTGGGGTGACTTTCTCCACTTCCAGGGAAAGCATTCCCTGGCAATTAAGAAACAAGTGTTTATTAAATCTACCACTGCCCTGCACACCTGTGGATTTACACAAGTAGGAGACTGAGAAAGCAGCATCACTTAGAAATAAAAATGTGGTTTATTTTGGCCATTGCAATAGCACTCCCACTGTCTAAATAAAGGAAAATGGACAGTGGAGGTGTTCTTGCTTTAGAGCTGTATTACTGAACTATTTCTTATGCAGAATACATGTAAAACTTAACAACTCCTTCAGAGAAAAGGCCTTGTTCCAGGTCAGAGTGATGCTACCATGAACAAAGGGCCAGTAACAAGATCCTGCTGTGACATTACCACTTCTGTCACCTCCCAATATCTGAATAGTTTCATGTTTTCATTTTCATGTTTTCATTCATGTTTCATGTTTTCATTCAATATTCAAAGAATTTACTGCTACAGTTTACTGACAGATGGAGTATATCCACAACTGGGAGGGAAGCCTGGAGTAAGAACCTGGTGCCAGCTGATGATTTTTTATTATTTTTGCAGCATCTACATTGAATAGATGTCAGATTAGACATTGCTTTTAACACTGCCAAAGTACCCTAAATTTGAATGATGCATGGGTTATGAAATGAAAGCAAACTTCTGGTTAACCAAGATGAAGTTTTCACCCAAAGATGCAAGGAATGTAAGATGACATTTAGGTTCAAGGTCTGAACTCTCTTTATAGAAAGGACTCATCTTCTCTGGGCTTCTTCCAGAAAATTCTGCACAGAAACCCACACGACTGGTACCTTGTGGCAGGGATCCACAGTGCAGATGTCACTGATCTCCAGGTCATGCAGCGACATGAGCAGCTCTGCCCTGAGCGTGCAGTAGTGGACGTTCCTGGTGCGCAGGAAGAGCGTCCTGAGGAACTGCAGCACCATGTCATAGAGCTTCACGTTCTTGCCGATCATCTGCGTCAGCTTCTGCACCACCTGGCTCACAGGGAAACGGGGGCTCAGCACCAGCAGGTGCTCCCATTCTACACACACACAAATGCAAATTAATTGTGCCACATGATTTACCAAGACTGAAGCATCTGCAGGGACATGAGGTCCTGAAGAGGAACCCCAAGATTTCCAAGAGCATTTGTTCAAGAGATGTTCACCAAATCTTCAACAGCCATAACCTGGTTTTGTCTCAACCCACCAGTTTCTTTCTTCTACCCTTCTGATTCTCCCTCCCTCCCCTCAAGGGGAGTGACCAAGTGGAGGTGTGGTGCTAGTGTCCAGCTGAGGTTAAAGCACAACTCTGCAGTGCAAACCTGCAGTAAATTGCACCAGGGCACTTACATCAAATGATTTTGAAAGTAAAACAGGCCTAAAACAACTCTTCATGTAAGAGACGTGCTGCCCTCTCTGAAATTAAAGCTTTATACTGCCTTCATTTAATTCAACTTTTCTGGATGCTAATTAACTTACAACTTACATACTTAAAAGAAAAAAAACTTCAGTTAAGCTATGTCCACTAAAAAAGGTCCCAAGAAAGCAAATTTAACATATCAGCATACTCAAACTGATGTGATAAGAGATATTCAGCCTTCAGAACAGCTGAAGTGCATTAAAACCAGACTGAACAACAGAGAAAAAAATCTGCCATTTCTTATTTTGAAGTGCATAAACAGCTTAGAACATTCACCATTTATTACACAACAACTAAAATAATTCATGCTGTTTTCATCAAAATGTGTAGGAGAAAATGGCCTGGTGTTTGTTGCAAAGAGTGTTCAGCTAAACAACTTCAGCAGTGAAGGTGGGCAGAAGAAAACAATGCAGGTTTGTGATGGTTGACTGAAAGCTGATAAATTCCCTTCACCAGCACATTGTGAGGGTTTCCTTCTCCTTACCTCTCCCTGACGTCTTGTTTTGGGAGATGGACTGAAGAAATTTTGCAAGAAGGAAATATCACTGCTGAAGAGAATGTTCTCCTTCTCCAGGATGTATTGCTTCAGCAGGGGTGACACCTCATCCCCAAAGAGAGCCTGGTTGTCCTGCCAGATCTGCCTCTTCACCTCCACAGCACAGGCCTTGTACAGGTCCTTATCAGCCATCACCAGCTTCAGCTTCTTCTCAGGGACCTGCAATGCCCAGAGCAGCTACACAGTGAGCAGCCTGTCCATGGAACCATCTGAATCATGGAATCACAGAATTCCCTGAGCTGGGAGGGACCCACCAGGATCACCCAGCCCAGCCCTGTCCCTGGCCAGACCCCCCACCAACCCCACCCTGGGCATCCCTGGCAGCGCTGGCCAAAGGCTCCTGGAGCTCTGGCAGCCTCGGGGCCGTGCCCATTCCCTGGGGAGCCTGGGCAGTGCCAGCACCCTCTGGGGGAAGAGCCTTGCCCTGAGCTCCAGCCTGAGCTGCCCTGGCCCAGCCCCAGCCGTGCCCTGGCTCCTGTCCCTGTCCCAGAGCAGAGATGGGAGCTGCCCCTCGGGAGGAGCTGCAGCCCCGGGGAGCTCTGCCCTCACTCTGCTCAGCTGAACAATCCCAGAGCCCTCAGCTGCTCCTCACAGCCCTCCAGACCCTTCCCCATCCTTTCAACATTTTCCAACAGCTTTAGATGTTTTATTATCTTGTACCCAAACAGCCCCAGGACTCAAAGTGAGGCTGCCCCAGCACAGAGCAGGACAATCCTCTCCGTGCCATGATCCCCACCTCAGGCAGTCTGGGCATTCACCCACCTGGTGTAGCAGTAGACCAGCCCTAAGAGACTTCAACAACCCAATCACACACCCTTAATTCTTTCAAAGAAGAAAAAAAAAAGGTCTACTTTAAGTCTCCAGTGCTGAGATTTGAGGTGGTATTTCCAAACTCAGTAATTTACTGAAGTTCCAGCAGTGTTTTGAGTCCATTACCTTGAATACACAATGCTTTTAATAAGAACACTCCTAGAGATTTTTGTTTCACAGATCTGATTCTCCCTCCTGCCTACTTTTAATTGCACTCTTCAAGTCTAACCTTCCACTTGTCAGAGATTTGTAAATCAGTTGTGGGAAAATTCACCTATCAGCAAACTTGGCTTTTTAGGAAGCTGCATGGATTGAAGGAAACAGGGAAATAGTCTCGTTTGATTATGAAAATGTGAAATGCTTTTTGAATTAGTCCACTGAGCTATTAGCAGACACGAGAATGTACTGAATCCTCAGTCAGTCACTGACACTGAACAACACCTGCAGCAGGGGCAGAGGGAGCAGAGCCCACCTGCCAGAGGCACACCAGAGATGGCACACCAGAGATGGCACACCAGAGATGGCACACCAGAGATGGCACACCAGAGACACACCAGCCAACCAGTGCAGTGCTCCCACCTTGGGCAAGTGCTTCATGACACACATGACCACGGGCTGTATTGAGGGCATCTTGACCAGGGAAAAGCTCTTCTCTAGGAGATCTTCCAGCTTCTTGTATCTGAAATCAGGGAAAAACAAGAGGCTAGGTACCATGCAGCAGCAAAGGAACAAAGTGGCCACCTCAAAGCCTCTGGAACTCAGGCCCTGAGGAAGCCAACTCTCCTTTAGAGAAGTCACCCATCCACTGCATTCTAGATGGGAGCTCCCAGCTCACCCCAAGGAACCAAGGACACTGCTGACAAACCTCTCCTCGACCTTCCCCTCCAAAGCGATGGCAGAGACTCTCTCCAGCAGCTTCTCCCGCAGCTCATCGAACACGGACTGGTGGAACTCGAGCCGGGGGGTGCCGTGCAGGTCCAGGAAGGGCAGGGCATACTGCAGCGAGGGCAGCAGCACCCCGTTCTCCGTCTGCAACACAACGGCACAGGGGCTGACAACGACACCCGGGACAACCAACACAGCCGGGAAAAGCCCAGACAGCGCCGGGGGCCGTGCCGTGCTCCCTGTCCCGGCACGGCCCGGCCCCACAGGCACCCAGCGCACCTGGAACTGCTCGATGGCCTTCAGCGGCTCCGTGCAGTTCGTGAGGGTCTCCTTGAGATCCTCGCCGTTGGCCACTCCCAGCTCCTGCAGCCCCGCGTACATGTCGGCCCGGCCGGGTGCGCGGGGCCGCTCCCGGCTCAGCTCCCGGCCCTGTTCCCGATCCCGGCCCTGTTTCTGTTCCCGCTCCCGGCCCTGTTTCTGTTCCCGATCCCGGTCCCGCTCCCGGCCCTGTTTCTGTTCCCGATCCCGGCCCTGTTTCTGTTCCCGATCCCGGTCCCGGTCCCGGTCCCGCCTCAGCTCTCGCCCCGGCCCCGGCGCTCCGCCCCGCCTCGCCCCCGCCGCGCGCGGGCCCCGCGCCGCAGCACCAAGGTTCCGCCGCAGCAAGGTTCCGCGGCGGCTGCCCTGGGTGTCCCCGGCTCCCCGCGGCCCGCGGAGCTCCGGGGCAGGGCGGACGGGGCTCCAGGAGCCTTTGGACAGCGCTCTCAGGCACGTGGAATCACAGAAGGATGGAATGGCTCGGGCTGGAAACCACCATAGAGGGTCATCAGGGTCATCCCAGAGCAGGCGGCTCAGGACTGTGTCCAGACGGTTCTGGAATTTCTGCAGCGAGGGAGGCTCCACTCCCTCTGTGGGCTGGCTGTTCACTGCTTGGTCACCCACACAGGAAAGAAATTCTTCCCTGTGTTCAGGTGGAACTCCCTGGGTGTCAGTTGTGCCTCTTGTCCACTGCTGGCACCTGCCGAGTCTGGTCCGTGCTCTGGCACCACCCTTTAGACACCACACACACCCATGGGGTCCCCTGCGGGCTGGCTCTTCTCCAGGCCGAACAGGCCCAGCTCCCTCAGAGAATGTTCCAGAGCCTTGCCCAACTTAGCAGCTCTCCACAGGACCTGCTCCAGGAGCTTCCCCGTGGTGGGACTTGGGGTGTCCTGTGCAGGGCCACTCGATCCTTTTGGTCACTTCCAATCCTGTGCAGGGCCAGGGGCTGGACTCGATCCTTTTGGTCACTTCCAGCTCAGGAGATTCTGTGATTCCATGTTTCTCAGCAAAGCTCAGGGTTCCTGGGGCTGTCTGAGGCTTCCTCATGGGCAGACAGCAATGAAAAGAGGAAATGTCACCAAAAACAGAGAAGTGGAATTTCCCCATTCCTGGTTTGACCTTCAGATCCATGACCAGTCTGTGGACATGAGCAATCAGCCAAATGCCTCAGTGCGAGCAGCCATGGAGTTTTCTTCACAATTTCCATTTGCAGGGATGAGACTTCGTGGCACTGCCAGGAGAAAGCAGGCATGTGTTCCATAAAGCCCCAGCCTTGGTTCTTTTCCACAGGGAGGCTGTCAGGAAGGGGGGCTCAAGCCCTTAGGAATAAAGTAAATCCAGTAACAAGCAGTTTCCCCAGTTCTAATTTGGAAGCTCACACTGCCAGATGAGGAATACCAAAGGGATGAGTTTTGCCTGCTTATTACCAGCTGAGTTAACCCCACATTTTGTTTACCTCAGCGCCGCTGCCTGGGGCAGTTTCGAGGTTGCAGCGGTGCCGTTGCACAGCTGGCCCTGGGACGGGCACGGAGCCCTCCTGTAATTTATAATTTATGGGCAGCAGGGATGGAAGGGAAGGCAGAGCTGCCTGGCACAGCACAGCCAGGCCCACGCGCCCCTGTGGTCCCTGTGGCTTGGGGCTGGGCTAAGTCAGAGCCTGGCCCCGGCCACGCCTTGCTGCTCTTTTTAAAGGTTGTTGGAGCAGCCGGTTTGCTGCTCCGCTGCTTCCTCTCTGGGGGAAGGAGAAGCTCTTCATGTCTTGGCGTGAGCTGCTTCCCCCCTGGCTGGTGATCGTGGCGGGACTGACGGGCATCGTGCTGCTCTGTGTCTCCACCAAAGATGTGCCCGTGGCCCCACTCAGGACCAAGGTAAGGGCTCTCCAGGGGGCAGACAGGCAGCTAAGCTGGGCTGTTCTATTGCTTTTGACATCATTTTATTATTGAGCTGCTCACAAACCAAAGAGGGAACTGGGACAAGACTGTCAGGACAGGCTGGCATCTTTCAACACACTGTAGGTTTTCAAACCAGAAACAAGCCCACCCCTTTGACTGGTCAGGGAATGCAGGCTGGATATGGTCCATGGATCAGTGCAGATGCTCAGGGCAGGCTGAGAGGAGGCAGCCCATGGCAGGAGCTGCCCCAGAGCAACAAGGAACCAGGGGTGTCAGTGCAGGGAAGTGCTAGGTCCCTCTCAGAAGTCAGTAGGAATGTGCTCCTGAACTGCTGCTTCTGTCCTAAAAACAAATTGTCTTTCATGCCTTCTTCTCTTTGGTCCTATGTTGATTTCAATCAAAGAGCCAGTGTGCTCCTCACAGCTGGGTCAGATCTGGGGGGGTTAATGCCCCCCTGCTCTGTCTCTTGATGCTCCCATTGCTGAGGTGAGCTCAGTGGCACACCATGGTTTCACCCAACAGAAGGAGGCTATCCTGTGTGTTTAGAGATGGCACCCCTCCTCCGTGTTCCTCTCAGAAACAAAACTGGATTAAAAACCCCCTTGTTGCTCCATGTTCTGTCCTTTCCTGGTGTTGAGCTGGACATAAAAGTGGTGATCCCTCCCCTTCTCCCTTGTGCTCCTAGCACAGCCTCTAATTTTCTGAAGGAGGAAAAAAAAAATCCATGTTTCTCCACCAATGCCATTCCTTTCTTCCTCTTCTGCGCAGCCAACATGTCCCTGCTAGAAATCCGAGATGTCACTGGTGTGGGAGGGTGCCAGCAGGCTCGGGCAGGGAGCCCCAGCCTCCTTCCGCATTGCTGCCCCAGCCCAGCCCCTGGCCGGGGTGCCAGGACTGGTGCAACTGGGAGCTCCAGGAGGGCAGAGGCAGCCAGCCTCACTGGGAGGCTGCAGCCAGCTCAGTCTGGTGCTGGAACCCTTCTGGTGGCATTAACATCAACCTCTGAGGAGGTTTCTCCTCCCACTCAATCACAGCTCTATTTGTGTGTGAGATCCAGCTTCGACCACGCACTACCATGCAGCCCATGAGTTTCCTTCCTGTCTGTAGGAGATATCCCAAACTGGGGTCATGCAATAGGAGCAGAGGAGCCCCAGGCTAGTCTGGAGCTATTCTGGGTGGGGGGACATCCAGAGCTGTGCTGCAGGGTGGCCCAGTGGCCTCCACTTGCTCATCCTCATACACTGGGAGCAGCAAGGCTTGGTCAGCAGCAAACAGACAAACACTGGGGGCAAAGAGACCCAGAGCCCTTGCCTTGGGTAATAGCAGAGCTGCCAGGGGACAAGGGGCTGAGCTGGTCATGTCCACTGCTGCTGCTCTTCCTGCCAACACATCATCTCTGCCTCTGAGGGCTGCTGTGCTGTACAGTGTCTGTGCTGGTGGCTGCAGCTCCCACAGCTCTGCACACATCGGGGCAATCCTCGCCTGTGTCACACCCTCACTGCAGTGGGACATCAAAGAGACACAGGAGTCCCGGGCACCTCGGGACAAGTGAGCTGCAGCCCTCCAATCCCTGCACAAAAGCCTGAGCAAACCAATCAGCAGCAGCTTGAGTCCCAGAATCAGTGGAGAACTTGTACAGTGCCATCTCCCACTGCTTTAGGACCTGTTTTTCCTGAGCTCCAGGTGGCTCAGCTCTCAGGGGAAGCCCTCTGCCTGGTTTCAGGAGCAGCTCCAGCACATGCCACTGTAGGGCTGGTGTATTTCTGGGCGTTTCTCCACTCTTGCTGTTCCTCATATATATTCAGAAATGCAGATGGTTCCGTGCAAGTCCTCATCATCCTCTGGCTTCGCCTGCTCTTTGAATGTAACAAGCAAACTCAAATGCTGCAGTGCAGGCCCAGGGGTCACCCAGAATACCTGTATCTGCTGGGTAACCCTACACTATCAGTCAGCATGCATTCAATAGTGTTTTTCAGTAGAATGTTCTGGGTTTTTTCCAGTATGGCATTGTTCTGGATGCTGGCCCATCCCGCACCATCCTGTTCATCTACCAGTGGACAACCACCAAGGCAAACAAGACCGGGGTGATCAGAGGGTGCAGTTCCTGTCCTGTGCAAGGTAAGGTGCCCATTTCCTGCTCAGTGGTCTGTCTGACTGCCATGGGATGGATGAAAAAACAGAGACCTGTGCATGGACCAGTGCCATGAATTCCTTGGCTCCTGCACCACCCAGCTGTGCACGGCAACGGTGAAGCACAAGTTGCTTATTTTCAATATGGCTCTTCTCAGCTGGGCAGAATTAGCCACACACAGCTGGCCATCAGGCACTTGGCAGTAGCAGCGGTCGGGATTTTGGGGCTGCTGCAGGCAGGGAAGCATGCAGAAAGGATGTGGCTTGTCTTGATGTCCACATGGATCAGTGGTGGAGCCAAGGTTGCTGGATTCTCACCCAGGGAACAGCAATGGAGACAAATCTGACTGCAGGACAACTCCTGGTATCTTCTGCCTCCTCCTGACTGTGCCCTGGGCAGTGAGTGGGGGGTAGTTCCAGGACAGAGCTGAAAAGACTCCAGTCCCCTATATAGCATTTGACCACACAAGCATGACTTCAGCTTGCCTTTAGGTGTCCCATTTCAGAGAATTTGGGGGTTTTCCTCACAAATTTGAATCAGTTTGGCCCTGCCAATGCCAGCTGAGAGGGTTTCATGCATTAATGCATGGGGTTTTCCTTCCCTATCTCCCAATCTTGCTTTGATGTTAAGCCTGGTTATAGTGGGATGGGGGGAAGGACTGAGCCCTCAGCAGCAGCATGCTGTGGGAGGGCAGCTGCACAGCAAGCAGGGAACAGGGTTTGTGCCCTTGCAGGCTGTAAACAACACAAATCACACGCAGAAGATGCAAGAAGGGCTCCCTGAAACCTAGTTTGTGTCCCTCATTCAGTGGCTGGGTTAAGCAGCAGTTTGTGAGCAGTTTGCTGCCAGCAGCAGCACAAGAGGCCCAGGCAGGTCTGAGCCCAGGTGTGAGTGGCCTGTGCCACAGAGAGCAGAGCACCTGGTGAGGGAATCAGGAGGGTGGGGAAGGGAGACTCTTCCTGGATAGTAGTTCAAAACCAGCATTTAAGACCCCATGACTTGCTGGAAAAATGAGTCAAGGCTGGCACAGAGCTTCCCTCTGCAGAGCACTGGCTTCCTCTAGGGCAGGGGTGTCTTGCTTGCCAGCAGGGACTCAGTGGCTGGAGGAGAGAAGTGACACATCAGCTTCTGTGTGTCCTTTACTTATTTCTATAGCAACTAAAGCCACATTTCTTCCTCTGTGGGCTGAGACAGCCTCAGCTGTTGCAGCAGTCGTGTTTGGTATAGATGTCTCAGCTGCAGAGCTAGGGTAGTCTTAGTGTAATTTGGGATTTCTGTGCACATTTTTGTCTCAGTTCCATATTTTAGCAGGATGGATACCTGGAAGCCCTCCTTCATTCCACCTGTGACAGGTTCTGTCTTAACCATGTCCTAGGGTAGCAATCTCTGGGGTAACAGCTCTCACAGTTCTCCCATAACCTCCCTTAAAATTCCATTCTGTTCTGTAATCCTCAGGTCCAGGAGTCTCCAGCTACTCAGATTCTCCTCAGAAAGCTGGGAAGAGCTTGGAGCCGTGTTTGAACTGGGCCCAGAATGAGATCCCAGCAGAGCAGCACAGCCAAACCCCCCTGTACTTGGGAGCCACCACCAGCATGAGGCAGCTGAAGTGAGTGAATGTTGCAAACCCACACCCAGAGATCAGCACACGTCATGGGATCATTCTGTGACAGGCATCTCACCCTGTCTGCTCTGCAGGCTGAGCCATCCCTAATGTGCCAGCCAGGTAAACCTTCCTCAGGCCCTGAGGAGAGGAGCATGGCATGGCTGTGTCTCCATGTGTTGCCCCAGGCAGCCATGAAGATGACAGTCCTGCAACTTCTGCCAGGCTGGAAGTGTCTCCTTCGCAATTACACTTTCACAATTAGTGCTTGGGAAAACACCCATCAGTCTGGAAGCTCAAGTGTTTTCAGTTTGTGTGACAGCCCACGTGGGCTTGCAGGAGTGCTTCTTGTCAGCAAATTGGAAATGGTGGTGGGAAGGCTCCCCTTGTGACACACACTTGTGGACCCTCTTCTCAGTCACCACATCACTGGGACCTTTATCTCCTTTCAGACACTGGGGAAAAGTCAGGTCTGGAGGGGACCAGGCCAGTGGGATAGGGCCAGAGGATTTCCTCAGGGACAGAGGGTACTAAGGTCCTAAATTCTGAAACAGTGGCATAGTTGTTCAAACCATCCCTCTGCTGTTCTTGCCTCCAGTGCCATGCGAGGGGAGAGGGAAGCAGCAGCAGGAGTGGGATTGTCACTGTGTCTCTGGGCTACTGCCCAAAGTAGGGAGCACAGCAGAAGCCCTGCAGTGTGCCCCCACTGCAGGCAGTTCCTGGCAGGGTCCTGTAACAACAAACGTGCCTTCTTTTTCTTTTGTGTTTAGCCTCACCCATCCCATCCTCTCTGCCAGTCTCCTTGCAGCTCTGACTGGCACCCTGAAGTCATCCCCCTTCAGCTTTCAAGGGGCACAAATCCTGTCCAGCCCAGAGGAAGAAGCATTCAATTGGGTTGCTGTTAACTATGTCCTGGAGAACTTCTTCAAGGTAAAGGATGATTCTCCCTGGGCCACACAGAGCTGGCCTGAGCAGCTCCTGTTAAGAGACAGCCACAGAGACAAGTGGTGGGATGGGTAAACCCCTGTATTTAATGCTTCAGCACAACTTCCACTGCCTTTCAGAGGAGGCAGCTTAGATCCAGCACTAGCTGAGGTGAGGAGGTGAGGCCCTGGCACAGGGTGCCCAGAGCAGCTGTGGCTGCCCCTGGATCCCTGGCAGTGCCCAAGGCCAGGCTGGACAGGGCTTGGAGCAGCCTGGGACAGTGGGAAGTGTCCCTGCCATGGCAGGGGGTTGGAATGAAGTGAGCTTTAATATTCCTCCCAACCCAAACCATTCTGTGGCTCCATGGTCATAACTAGGCTGAAGAACCAAATCTCTGCTCTGGCCTTCCATGAACACATCCATGCAGGTGCCCTGTCAGACATGGGGCTTTCTGGCCAGCACGTCCAGGATGCTCACGTAGATGACCTTACCTAGCCTGGCCATGGGCCATCACCAAGAACCCCACTGCAGCTGTAGCTCAGTGCCTCTGTCTAACAGGAGCTGCTGCTGTTTGTGGAGAGCTGTGGGATTGCCACTGGAGTCCAGCTGTCCCATGGGGAGTCTTGTGGGTGGTAGAGAAGCAGATTCTGTTGCTGCTGAAGCAAAAGCCTCTCTCAGTGAGACACCAAGAAGGCCTGCTCTGTATTTAGAAGGCACTTGCTAAACAAAAAGAAAATAATTTCATTTCTCTTGTTTCACCCATCACTTTTCAAGCCAAAGGGTCTCAAAAATAACTCAGAAGGCAAGAGAAAGGTGGGTTAGACTGAGTTACTTCTCATCAGTGATGTGAAAAGCAGCTCTGACAGCCAGCAGCAGGCACACACTGGTTAGGGAATTGTCAGACCTGTTGACAGCCTCCTCCAGCCAGGCACAGAGCATTTACCCCATGTAAACTCTCCTGCCTGTGCTGCAGACTTCAGCATTGCCAAAGTCAGTTCTGCAAGACTGCAGGAGATGATGCCACAGGGTTCCTCTGACAGGAGGATCACTTTGGCATCAAGGCAGCACTTGAAACCCATATCTGCCCTCTTGGAACCGTCCCTGCCACTCCCCACCACCCTTCTCCTGCCTGCTGAGACCACTGCCTAGTGCAGCCAGCCAGGCTGGGCAGCCCTGTTTGCTCCCACAGGCTGTGGGCAGGCTCTGTGCAGGGGGCAGTGCCTGTACACGGCTCCTCTGTTCCCTCCAAAGCCACTGGTGCAGCACCCGTACGTCCTGTGGGCAAACAGAGCTGGGCTGTGGGCACCAGCGAGCTGCTTTCCCTCTCTGTGCACTCCTGCTGGCACCCGGCTGTGACTGAGACGGAGAAGTCTCAAGGATTGACCTCTCTTGTTCTTTTTGGGTCAGTACGACTGGCAAGGGCAGCTGGGCCCCTCCAGGAAGGGGACGGCAGGAGTCCTGTCCATGGGAGGAGCCTCAGCACAGCTCACGTCTGAGCTGGAGGAGAAGCAGGGCCCGGAGGAGGGAGTGAGGCTGCAGCTCTACGGGCAGACACACAGGGTGCGCACCCGGCAGTGCCCCTGCCACGGCACGGAGCAGCTGCGCCGCGGGCTGCTCTCGGTGCTGCTGCAGGTGAGGGTGAGTGAGAGTGTGAGGGGGAGTGTGAGTGAGAGTGTCTGCTCTCGGTGCTGCTGCAGGTGAGGGTGAGTGTGAGGGTGAGTGAGAGTGTGAGTGTCTGCTCTCGGTGCTCCTGCAGGTGAGTGTGAGTGTCTGCTCTCTGTGCTCCTCCAGGTGAGTGTGAGTGTGTCTGCTCTCTGTGCTCCTGCAGGTGAGTGTGAGTGTCTGCTCTCTGCTCATCCAGGTGAGCGTGAGTGTGAGTGTCTGCTCAGGGGCACAACATCCCCAAATGGCAGCTGCCCAAGGTGTGCTAATGGGCAAAGTGTCGATCCCTTTAAGGTCAGTCCTCTTTAGCAGAGGCTGTTTGCACAAACCCAGTGCATTTGTAAAACTTCCTCTCCCTCCAAGCAGACACACAGGCACCAGTTCAAGGCTTTCCTACTTACAGGTTCTATTTGGCTCCTACTTAACACACACACAAGCAAAAAATTGCTCTTCAGAGGTGTCAACATCACCTTCAGGGTGAGGAGAGGCAAGGCTTGCCTTGGCTCCTAGGAACTGCTCCTCCATCCTAGAATGGGAGCACAGGAACCAAGTGGGACCTTCCCTTTGGGGTATTTCCTTTGCTGACTTTAACCCTGAAGCATCTTTAAAAGAGCAATATTTCATTTTGAAAACATGCCAGTGTTTTGGTTCTTCCAAACTTTATTTCACTTGGGAATGGGAGGGGGAGGAGAAGAGTGGCACAGCATGGCACAAACTCAAGAATCACCATAATCCTCATCAAAATTGTGTTTTTCAGGAATTAACTGCTCCCTGCCCATTCACTTTCTTCCCTATAAACCTGACTTGCCCTTATTTAAGACCTGAATGTCACACATTGGACACCAACTTCACCACAGTTATAGTGCTAAATTGCTAGAGACAAGAACCACTGATTCTGGTGGGGTTTGAAGCATCTGGAAGGCAGATCAGAACAGCCTCCTTCTTGCAACTAGAAAGAGCACAGGATGCATGAAATTGTATTTGTGCTCGAAGGGAGGGTGGTAGGGCTGGGACTCATCACCTCTCAACAGGTCCAGGCACTGGCCCTGAGCTCAGCAGGAGCTGGCACCTGGCTGGACCTCGTGGTTGACTTGCTGCCATAAGATTTGGCAAAGCTTTCACAGTCTCCCTGCTCAATCTCAGCACTGCGGTGCTTGGGGAAAGCTGCTCCTAACCATGTTACATTCTGTCTTCCTGTGTGAAGCCCTGGGATGCCAATGTCCTCTCTTGCTCCTCTGCCCTTGTTTTATCCTGCCTCCAGGATCAGAGAAGTGCTAAAGCTGTGTCCAATCCCTGCTGGCCCCTCACCTACTCCCAGCAAGTGCAGTGGCAGTCGGTGCATGCTGGGCCTTGTGCTGCCAGTGATGACACACGGGACATCCCTGGCCCCAAGGAGGTCTTCAACATCACGGGCTCCAGCAATCCCACAGCCTGCATGACCCTCGTGCAAAGCCTGCTCAACTCTTCCTCTTCCTGCAGCTTCTTCAAGCATTCCCTCAGCAGTGGTCTCAAGCCCCTTCAGACCAGGTTTCTGGTGAGTTCTCATTTACACTGGGGTAAGCAACTGGCATGAGGAACCCATGAAATGGGACCAGTTTGACCATTAATCAATACAATGGGAACATCCAGACCATGACACTCCTGCCCTCTCCCCCTCATTGCCACACAGCTGTTCAAACATGGAGCACTGGCTCCACAGGGACTGTGGGGGAGCTTTTTTCATCTATGTCTCCTCAATGTCTGCTGCTGAGACCAACTCTAGAGCTCCATGGAGCCAGCAGGGATGGGACAGTCAGGAGCTGTGTGCTGAGCAGGTCTTCCCACACCAGGTCTGTGGTAAAGCTGGAGATCCTCTGCCCCTCTCTTACAAACTTCTGGTCATGCTGCAGCACAAGCACCCTTCTACCTGAGAACCTGAACTCAGCAGCCAAAGTCATTGGGTTGTTAAACCAGGAGTAGCTCAAGATCCTGGGACAAGCTGAGGGCATTTCCAGGGAGGGTAACTGGAAATTTCCCCAATCTCCCATGGACATGGTGCTGAGGAGCATCGGGATCATCTCCCAGTCCTCAGCACTGCTGAGGTTACACCATGAATATTGTGCTTAGTTTTGGGCAAGAAGGGCACTGAGGGGCTGGAGCATGTCCAGGGAAGGGAAGGGAGCTGGGGAAGGGGCTGAAGCTCCAGGAGAGGCTGAGGGAGCTGGGAAGGGGCTCAGCCTGGAGAAAAAGATGCTCAAGGGGGACCTTGTGGCTCTGCACAACTCCTGACAGGAGGGGACAGCTGGGGGAGGTTGGGCTCTGCTCCCAGGGAACAGGAGGAGAGGAAATGCCTCAAGCTGTGCTAGAGGAGGTTTAGACTGGATATTACAGAAAACTCCTTTACCAAAAGGGTTGTCAAGCCCTGGCACAGGCTGCCCAGGGCAGTGGTGGAATCACCATCCCTGGAGGGATTTAAAGGCTGTGTAGATGTGGCACTTGGGGACATTGTTTAGTGGTGGGCTTGGTATTGCTGGGTTAATGGTTGAACTTGATTTTAGACGTCTTCTGCAACCAATATGATTTTTTTGGTTCTATGACCAGTCTACTTATCTGGGCAGGGCCAGGAAGGCTGCTGGAGGCACGCTGGGAACAGACCTGTTTCCATCTCCAGGCAGCAACAGCTCTGCTCGTGTCCCTTGAGCCCTTCCAAGGCACAGGAACCAACCCTGCACACCAAGGGCACCCCGGCAATGCTCAGCCACTGCCCCTCACTTCCCTGGGGGCAATTTCTGTGTGCAGTGCAAGGACACAGGGCACAGTCCCACCTGATGATTATTTCTGCTGCTGTTGTAGGTGGTTTCTGAGGCCATGGACTTCATGAGAGCAAAGGCACCTTCTCCTGACTTGGGTCAGGCTGTCCAGAGGCTGTGTGGGATGTCTGTCAAAGAGGTAACTGTGGAGTAACTCAGTGTGCAGGGAGAGTGGGAAGCAAGGAACAGTTTGCTGCAAAAGCCCACAGGGCTCAGACTGACAGAGTTGTAACTTACTGGCTCCCTCAGGGAAAAATTTGGATTTGTCTGAGTTTTGGGTTTTTGTGGGGCTTTTCTTTGGTTTGGTTTTGTTTTGTTTTTACTTTGAGGAAACAGGCTCCACTTATTTTCCTTCCTCTCAAATCCCAATTGCTGCTGGTAACGCCGGGACCTAATTAAATGAAAAGCCACAAAATACCTTTTACAGTATTTTAAGGAGTAAACAGGAAGGTTGTCTACTCACTCCTGCACATCACCTTGGTCTTTCTGTTATCCTTCTGTCCTTAAGTGCAAGGGACACAATTACTCAGACTCCAGGGTCGATCCCATTTCACCTGAGCCCATGGAGCCCAAGCCAGAGGGAGTTTGTCACTTCTTTCCCCGAGCTGGTGGTTGGGAGGTCACCCTCATTTGCATTTACACTGATGGAGCATCCACAGTAACATTCAAATGGGGCAATTTCTCCAGGGTTTGTTAAGGAGCCATAGGCAGTCCCCTAAAGCATTCTCTTCTGGGAGGAGGAGAAAGATCCCAATGTTCCAGGTGGGAGAAAGGCTGCAGCATCAGCTTAACCTAATTAGAGAGCAGGGAATCAATCCTCCCAAGCACTTCACCAGCAAGGCAACCTGGTGTCAGTCTGCTGCTCTTGGATCTGGCTTAGTAAGATGGGAACAAAGTACCAGATGACACTGAATTGTACCCCACAGCCCAGTGAGTGCAGGAAATGTGGTTTCAGTTGGCACAGGACACAAACCCCCTCCTCCAGTCCCACAGTCAGTTTCAGAACAGGAAAGGAGAGGCTGTAGCAGGCCTGGAATTTGGCTATTGAGTATTTGCTTATTTTACTTTTCTCCCCCATCTTCTTTTTTTTTTATTTTTGTTCTGGAAATGGCACCAGCTGATGAGAGAGTCCCAAGCAAGCCTGGATACACTTGTTGATTACTGCACTGTGTCTGCCTTCATCTTCCATCTCAGTACACGAGGATACACACTTGACTTTGAGCAGCCTGCTTGGACTGCATTCCAGAAGGTCAGTTCCTTCAGCACAGTGTTCCCATTGCCAGGAGGGCTGGTCCCAGCACAGCCAGCCTGCTCCCACACTGACAAGCCCTAACCAGCTGGGATTCTCCAGCAGGACAGTTTTGTCAAATGGATTCACAGTTGTGATAAACAAGAAAATCACTTTCAAAGAGCCAGAGATGACATTGTCTTCTCTGAAAAACACAGGGGTCAAAAAACACTGACAAGCCCTAACCAGCTGGGATTCTCCAGCAGGACAGTTTTGTCAAATGGATTCACAGTTGTGATAAACAAGAAAATCACTCTCAAAGAGCCAGAGATGACACTTGTCCTCTCTGAAAAACACAGGGGTCAAAACTCTTCTCTGGATCATCTTTAGAAATCTGTGTTGACAGGGAAGGAAGTACAGCGTGATCTCCACTTAATGCTAAGGAAAAGCTGCTGGTAACATTTCTTGAGCCAAAAGGTGCTTCCCTACCTTTTTTTAACCACCTTTAAACTCATGAGGGTTGATAAATACTGTATCATCATAGAATCCTAGACTGGTTTTGGACTGGAAGGAATATTAAAGCTCACTTCATTCCCCCCCTGCCATGGCAGGCACACCTCCCACTGTCCCAGGCTGCTCCCAGCCCTGTCCAGCCTGGCCTTGGACACTGCCAGGGATCCAGGGGCAGCCACAGCTGCTCTGGGCACCCTGTGCCAGGGCCTGCCCACCCTCTCAAAGAATTTCTTCCTAATATCTAATAACCTAACCCAATCTCTAATAAGATCTGAAATTGCTCTGGGATCTGGAGGCCCTAAAGACAGGGGAATTTTTTCAGGTCATTCCCTTCACAAAATCAAGCCTGTTCCCAGACCTCTTCACAACTGATAATCGCAGCCATGGTCCCACTGAGCAGGGCCAAGTAGTGACCATCAGAAAAGGCAAGGTAATGAGGTAGGCCCAGGACCCCCAGGGAGCCCTCTGTCAGGGAAAGACAGAGACAAGCAACCTCAACCATAAGTCTGAGGTTCAGCCAGGGCCAGAGAGACAACTATCCACAAGGTAGGCTTGAGATCCACTAGAAAACCCCATCAGTAAGCAGAGAACAGCACTCCCCCACAGCACAGCTCAGGAGAGAGGGGCTGCCCAGGCCAGAGCTTACATGGGCAGAGGTGTGGGTGGCAGTGCCATTGAGGCCTCTTGGTGTACTCGGGGCACTCAGAGTGGGAGAGCTCCTCACTGCAAGCCAAATCCTTGCAGCAGTTTCAGATAACACGTACAAAGCCTTGGGCCCATGCACAGAAACACAGCTGGGGTCCAGGCCGTCTCCTTCTCTTCTGACCTCTCCTTTTTATCTCAACAGATGGGTGACAGATCGTCTGGCTGGACTCTTGGGTACCTGCTGAGTCTGACCAGCACCATGCCCCAGGACAGCCCAAGCTTCCTGAAGGGGATCGAGCCGGGGGTCTGGTCCCTGCTCCTGATCCTCTTCGTGGTGCTGCTCATGGGCTCCTTCATGCGCATCTCGTACCGAGTGATGGCCAAGGAGAGCAGCTCCAGTCACAGGAACAGCAGCGTTTTCGATGACTGACGGCTTTCTGTGACTCAGGGCTCTCGTCAGAGCACAGTTAGCAGGGTCCAGACAGAAATCACAGAGGTGTAAGCCACTGGAGGATGCAAGTGATTTTTCTGCAGGGCTCCCAGCAACTTGCTGGTACTTGCACTGCTGTAGTTTGAGCCAATGGATCCTGCTCCACAGGAAGTCTGTGATTCCTGGTGGATGGCAAGCTATTCATTCTCCAAACAAGAACAGCCTGCATGGCTCTTCCTTGGGCTACAGCTGGGATTACTCATGTCAGACATGAAATGATGCCTCTGAGCAGGCAGGCCCTGAGCTGTTGTGGAGCTAATATTGTATAATCCTGTCAGATCAGAAGAGGTGGTGTCTGAAAAATATGCTCTGTCCTCTTCTGTGGCCTCTCTAGAGATGATACCTGCAGTATTGCCATTAATGAAGACTGGAAGGGCATTAAAACAGAGTCAGAATATAAAAACTGCTTCCATGTTCTAGGGAAAATGCAGGTATTTTCTGCCTGATCTGTCTGTGCTTTCTTGTCAGTGATGATGGCCACGTGTCCCTTCCAATGAACACTCCTGCTGACCAGGAATCCTTCAAAACCAATCCTTCTTAGTCTTGGCCTCTACAAAATGTGCAGAGGATCAAAGGAGAAACAAAGGGCACAGATGCACAGTTGAGTTTTTGTCTCTCAGCTGAGTCATGGCCACACAGGGTTAACATTGCCAATTTAAACTCTTTAGCAAGGACTCAAATGAACACATTTAATTTCACATTTGCTAAAGCTGGGCTCACGCTGGGCTGAGGCTCACCTGTTTGTTCATTTGCACTGACCTGCTTCTCTTGCTGACTCTGGAAGTGTCTCAGCTGACACTGCCCTTTAGACCAGAGCAGACTCAGGAACAGAAGCTTTCCTAATTGTCACTTTCATATTTCACCATGACCAGAGTTACTTTATGATCTAATAATCAGGATTCCCCTGGGACCTGGCAGTCATTCTGGCTCCTCTGGTCTGCTCTGCACATCTGAAAGATGAGGTGCTGTACAAATTCTGTGTTACTGTGAAGAAAAGGGATCGATTCACAAGCACTGTCCTTTGACTAAGGCATTTAGAGCTCTCTTCTCAACTGCTTCAGAGACTTACAACACACAGACTGTTAAGAGCCTCAGGGACGAGTGTCTCCAAGGCTTTTCAGACCACTTTAAACAGAAATGTAAATGCTCACAGATGCAGTGGTAAGCCTTGCAGGATTTTTAAAGCTACCATGGCACCTAAATCCTTTCAAATCTGATTATTCATCCCTTGTGCTCCCAACTGATAATATAGGACACAACCCCCCCATAATATTGGGGTATTCATGCATTTTCAGGCCAATTAATGAAGGTTTGGAACCTGCCAGTCAAGTTTACAAGGCTGTGGTAACAGACTTAAGCTTCATAATCATTTCTTTGAGTTGCACGTTAGATATTTTTAATTGTATCATGTCATTAAAGATGTTTTAATAGACTGTCTGTGTTATTCTTGGCAAGAGATCAAAGCAGGGGGGTTATTGTGAACACAGAATGTTTCAGGGAGCTGGATGAGGGTGCTGCTGCTGCCTCTGCTCAAGAGCTGTTTTGCTGTGTACTTTTGGGGTACACAATGAGAACCCCTGAAGGCAGTGAAAGAAAAAGATTTCAGATAACCCAGCTGCTGGTATTTAGTTGATGAGAGACACGCCTACACCTTTTGATGTGTTCTTTGCTCAAACCATCTGAAGAAGGTAGGAGGCATCCAGGCAAGGTGGTATAGAAAAAATAAAGAGGTTATGATGGAGTCAGCAATATCAGGGAAATTCCTGAGACTTCATTCACCCTGCACCTGGAAATGCAATTGTTTAACATAGCTCTGGCTTGGTGACCTGACAGCATAGGGGTGAGCTCTGGCATTCCTGGCTCAGATTTGGAACCTGCTGAGGAAGAATCCTCCCACTGTCAGAAATGGAAATAAACCAGTGAGATGCCAGGAACTCCTGGACTCCAGGTGCTCTGGCCTGTCAGTCATTGCACCTTCTTGAATTAGAATAGATCACAGGGTCCAAGAGAAAAGGATATCAGCCAGAACTTCCCCAAGCTCTTGTTTAGAAGCTTTGGGACTTCCACACAGATAATAAGTGAGTAATTAAGCAATGAGCTCAGCGTGGCCTCCTGACACTTCACCTTTGCCTTGCACATGCCACTGAATTAAATCCCTGCCCCTTGAGCCACCCTGACAATGAATACTGCTCTGCCATGCAAAGACCCACAACCACTTCTTTTTCTAACAGATGAAAACATTTATAGATGTTTTTATTAAATTATAAGATAGATTGGGATTTTAAAACTGGTGTTTTGGTAATAAAAAAGGCATAAAATAACAAAATGAGGAACCTATGAGAAGAAAGGAGACTAATACTGGTAACATATTCCTTCCTCCCAGCTCTCTATAGAGCAGCTTGTTCATGTCAGCCCCACAATAAGTTTGCAGAATAAATTCCCAGATTGTCTGGACAGCTGAAACCTACTTAAAAGGAGATTCTAGATGAACTCACTCACTTCGAAACAAAGGTGCTTGCAGGCCTTTGGTTACAATTCAACTGAGGAAATGATAAATAATGAGGATTTTCTAACTGTCTGTAAATTCTTTATGTTTATATACAGGGCCCTCATTTCTCACTCAGGCTGAACCATGGCAGAGATCTTCTGGCAGATAATAAAGTCTGCTCATGTGCAACTGCAGCAAATACCAATAAGAAGGAAATAAAAAGTATTAGACAAAAAGAATTGACACCAGAAAGCACTTTCTCTATTTTAGCTTCAGATACACAACAGGGTGATTGGTCTGCTCCTGGCTATTAGGGCTTAATTATCATTTAGGCATCCCAAAGCACCACGGATTCTCAACCAGTACATCCCATCTGAGTTGTCCTAATGAATTCCCATGAATATTGAGGGAAATAGTTTGTTGCCTGCAGTTCCCCTCTGCAGTACCCACAGGGCCTGAGTTGTTTCTTCCCATTCTGACATACCCAGGCTCCCTATGGTAGGAGAGACCCAAGCTGAGGCCTTGGAATCCACAATCTCTTGTGGAGCAAACCCAGCAGAAGATGAGAGGAATGCCTTTCATGGATGGCTGGATTTAGTACATTTTCATGTTGTTCTTCTACCCTGCCTCTGATCCTGTATGAGTGTCTCTCCTGAGAAGCAGGCAGCCATATGATGTTTATATCTTACCTCATGGACTGTCACTCCTACTTCAAGAGCTAATTCTGAACACACTGAAGAAAAACAGGCCTGAAGGAATACTGGGATCATAAAACCTGCAATTTTTGCAACAGCTTTCTTAATATAAAAGTCCTTTCACAACGCCATCAAACCCAGGCAAGTCCCAGTGTTTTGGTGTTTTCTAAGTGCAGATCAGTGTACACTGAGGTGACCAGGTTCCCTCCATGTGAGATATTCACATCCACATCTGACAACATCCTCAGTGTACACTGAGGTGACCAGGTTCCCTCCATGTGAGATATTCACATCCCTCTGCAGCAGGATGTTGTCAGATCCCTGTTCAAGCCAGATAAACACAGAACAGGAACTGCTGCAGCAGTAGTGTGCAATGCCAGGGATCAGTCACGAGAGGGAGGCTGGCAGAGCACCCCTCAGAAAGCCTAAGGAAATCTCTGACAGAGCCAGAGATCCCTCCCATTCTCCAGAGCCATTTCTCCAGAGCCATTCTCCCACCACAAATGACATCAGTTAGCAAGGGGGCTGATCTGGGAACACCTTGTGGATGCAGGGGAAAGACACTGCAGTATGGAGACTCTCTGTGTGGGATGTGAAAGCAACTCTGGATTAAAGAAGCCATAGCACTGGAAGAAGTCCTCTATGCAGGGAGACAGACACTAGCATGGAGTATGGATGAAGGCTCTTTTGGAAATGAGGGAGAAAGAATAATCCCTACCAGGAAGAGAAGTGCCCTGGGAATGAAGAGGAGGTTTGAGAGAGACAGAGGAGTGGTAATATCAACTTTTGTGTGAAGGAAAGCTTATTTTTGTTCACAGCATATGTGCACCTCATGACCAAATTAGTCACCACTTCTTGGTGCAAAGTCTCAGGAGAAACGGATCCTCCACGTGGAAGAAGGCAACAGCCATCAGGCTTATCACTGGACAAGGAACAGCAGCAGAGCTGTGGAACCTTCATGGGAACAATGTTCAAAGTTCACAGGTTTCAAACATGAAGGAGATGTAAATGGCCAATTAATGCAAACATTACACAAAGTAAAAGCTGGTTTAGCATTAACTTGTCTCACAGTATCACAACAAATGTGAAACAGTCCTGGAGTGAAAGCTCTGAAGGGACAGGCTCAGGGCCTCGTGAATGGAGTTACTCAGTGGAAATCATCAAACCAAATGGAAGGAGCTCTTCTTCCACTCCAATCGTAGTTAAACCACTGCACTCGTCAGGACAGGAGGCTGTTTATGCCATAAGTTTACATGGCTGCAAAAGGTGATTAGATAAATTTATAACAACCCATTGGGGTTATTAAACAAAAAGTTACTTGCTTGTGGCAAAGAATTGCCCTGCCACATCCATATCTGTTTGCCCTGTTCCTCTTTGCTAAGTGCTGCAGAGCATTGGAGACAAGACACTGGCCTGGGTGGGTCTGTGGCTTGATCCCATTCAGCCATTCTGATTTCCCTCAGGCACGAATCCCACGACTGCACCTCTCACTCACCGGCCTCTGGAAGCAGCCTCTCACCTCCATAACTTCAATATCACAGGAGCAGTAATTTCTGGAAAACAAGACTGCTTACCCTTAGAAGCAACAATCAGATGAGAATGAGAAAACACCTGCACATACCCACGCCTCACTTCAGTGTTACCATAAACCTGGAACAACCACAACACCAAAAACCCTCTGGTTCTGGAGGCAGCTCCCACCCACACTCATCCTCCAGAGTCCCTCCCTTAACTCAGGGCTTCAGGTTTTTACCTACAGAGAGAGAATTAGTCCTGTGATTCCTGCCTGGGCTCCTGCCAGCCCCAGGTAGAGGCTCAGTTCAGACTGGATCGTGTTTCAGAGACACAGGCTGCAGTCTCACTGGTTAAGCACCAAGGGAGGAAGGACAGTCGCTGTGTGCCTGCCTGCTGAGGGGAGGGATCAGCTCTGCACACACACACAGAACACTTGTTCAGTGAAAGGGAAAGGTAATATGCAAAAGTGAAAAGAAAGTTCCTCCTTGCTCTGTCCAAACCAGTTGTGTTTACAGTAAAATCTGTTTCCAAGCAAAAGGCAATACAGGTAGTTACAAAACCAAAACAATTGCAATAATAAGTTTTTAAAAACCCTAATACCTAATTCAGCAAAACAGAAATGCGATTTCCAACTTGTTTTAACTTCCCTGTGTCTCTCTTTGGGTTATACCCAGGGTCTTTGGCCATGTAACACTGCCCTGATGTTTTCTAGGACCCCTCTTATGCAGCACTTACAGATGGGATCTGCCCCTAAATGAGGTGAAACCTCCCTGCTTGTCACTTACAGCAGAGTTTGAGGAGAGCTTTCAAAGTAATCAAATACCAGCTAAGACAGATGTCTGCAATGAACACACAGCATGGGAGCCACAAAAATCCCACCTCAGTGCTGTTCCTTTCTCTGCCCTCCCACCTGCCTTCCAGCACTCCCTACTCTGGCAAGCTGCAGCCTCTCCACCAACCAAGGGCCACCAGAAATGCACTGCAGCACTTGGCTCAGGCAGGACCGAGGAATGTGCACCTTTTTGTCCCAGAATTTGCCTCACACTCAGTATTCCATGCAGAGGTTCACCCTGAGAGGAATGCTCCGTGTGAGCCAGGGTTCTGGCACAGACCTGCTGTGGCACTTGCCAGCTCACCTCTTGGCACACACTAATTAATGCTGGCCTGCCACAGCGTCAGAAACACCAGGGCTGACAGGGTCAGCAGCTCCAGCAGCTCTCCATGGAGATTCCTGACTGTGCTCCTCCTTAGAGAAAAATACTGGCATCTTACTTCAATTTAAAAAATGGGCAAATATTTAAGATAGGATTGTCATTTCCTGTGGATGTGCAGGTAGCTAAGAACATACATACTTGCTGTCTGGGCTAGAATTAGCAAAAATTAATGTTGCACAAATAATTTGAAATGCCTCCTCCTCAGATATTCAGGTGGCTGAATCTCCTGGGAAACTTCTGGAAGCTCGATCAGAGAGCAAAGTTTAGCTGCTCCATAGGGTCCTAGCCCTGCTCCACTGGGCTCTGCAGACAGGTGTGGGAGCCTTAACCAGCAGAGCATTTCCACTCTCACACTGCCTCTGGGAATGCTGGGGGTGGCAACAATTGCTCACTCCACACATTACAGAGCAGCTTCCCGAACATGAAAGGCAGTGCAGGCTGGAGTAGAGGCTGTGGGAAGCACAATGGCTCGGGATTGCTCACACAGTAGGACATGGAGGCACTAATGCACAGGCCTTTGCTTTCTGGCACTGGCTGAAAAAACCCAAAGCTGTACCTGCATTAAATACAGCAGCACTGTAGCAGAAAACCTCCCCCAACCCTGCAGCGGCTCCCCCACTCCATTCAGGGCAGGTTTCCCAGGGTTTCCTGAGCACATGTGCCTCTGAACGCTGTGCTGAGCACACCTGAAGAGAATTGATGCTGAATGTACCTCCCCAGACAGCACAACACGGGCAGCACGCTCTACATTCCCTGGTTTTAATCAGAAAGAAGCCAGGATTCTTTCTGTACATTTCTCTGAAGAGATGGCATCACATCCTGGAGGAAAAGCTGTCTTTACTGATTAGCACAGGCTTGTGTGAAATCTTGAGCAAGCTGTATCCAGATTCATCCTGGCTGCCTTTAGCACCTAAATGATGCTGCAGTTTTTGGAAGTGGTCACCTCAAACAGCATCACAGAGAACAGAAAGGTGATGTCAGAGGACTGCTCTGAGCTGGAGTGGGCTGAGCCATCCCTTTCCTCTGATTCCAGTGTGAACACTATTTAATCAATGCCTGAAATGAGCAGGATAAATCTGGACCCCAATGCCTCTGCGTTACTCAGCTATCTCAAAGGGAGCTGCATCAACGTGCTGCATTCAGGCTGTGGATGTGAGGGATGAGCCCCGTGTGTCCCCCCAGACACCTCAGAGGCAGACACAGCCCTTTCCCAGGATCAGTCACTCCTGATGCTCTGGGGCTGCTCCAAGTGTTCCTGCACTCCTTCCAGCACCTCTGCAGCAATATGTTGTTTATATGCCAGAAATATCGATCATCATATTCTTTGTATTAAGCTGACTACCAGAGGCCATTCAAGCTCCAGCCAAAGCCTTCATGGGGCTTCTATATCCTGCCACCTCCTCCTCACCTGAGCCGGGCACAGGATTGGATTATTGTTATCCAGGCACGGATTCCAGGATGTGTACGAGCTGTCTGTGTGTCACACAGAGCTGGCTGTGTCAGCAGAATTGAGGTCATGGCTGCGTTTGCCTCAGCCCACCCCACAGCAAGGCAGCAGGACGAGACTCCTTGTCTTGGGAGCTCCATTAGGAGCCTCTTTCAAGTTTTTGCTCCAGTATGAAACAAGAAGAAATGCTGGGACTTGCAGACCAAGCTGGCATCACAATGAATACATACAACCATAAAAAGATTCTACTGAAACAATAATCAAGTATGCTTAATAAAACTGTGACCAAGGGATGCACTGTCTGGGCAAGAATGTGCTCACAAAGCCGGGAGACAGAATAAGGGACAAGGAAAGGCGAGGCTGGTATTTATCCAGCACGGGGTGTCTGACTGCCTCATGACAGGGATGCAGCACCCACACACAGCCCAGGACGGAGGTGCCCACGTGGGGAAGCCTTGATAACTAAAAAATGTCTACCCCAGATCCCCTCACAGGCAGGAGGCCCTCACTGGGGCCTTCCCCTCACATCATAGGGGCCTCTAGAGAGCTGCCACTGCAGGGTTCAGAGCAGCCCTAAGCCCTCATAGCAGCTGGACCCCCTGAACCTCCACACTCCCCTCAGCCCTCACAGCCCTCTCATGGCTCCCCATGCCCCCACAACCCCTCAAGCCCTCACACTTCCCTCACAGCCCTCCTAGCCCTCACAGATCCTGGAGCTCCCCCAGCCTTCTCACAGCTGCCAGAACTCCTGAGCCTTTAGGGACCCCCGAGCCCTGAGAGGAGCCAGGCCCCCTGAGCCCTCAGAGCCCCTCTCAGGCTCCCGAGGCCTCACGCTCCCCTCACGCCGCCCGCCCCAGCCCTTCCCGCCACCCGCGCGCGCTGTCGCCATGACAACGCCCGCGCGCGGCCCCGCCACCCTCGGGCCGGGGCCGCGCGCCAGAAAGTGCTGGAATGTCGCTGCAGCCCGCGCGTGCGCACACGGGGTGCTTCCCCCTCCCGCCGCGGCGCTGCGGCGCCGGGTGTAGTGGGACGGGGGGACGGGCGGGGAAGGAAGGAAGGAGGCAGAGCTGCCTGGAGGAGCGGGGGGGAAGCACTGGGGACCCGCGGGGAACCCGCCCTGTCCCGCAGTGAGGAGGAGCCGCCGCCTCCGCTGCGCAAAGCGCGCACTCGGGTCCGTGAATGGGCGGCTGCGGCGGCCACCGCCCAGAGCCCGCTGCGGAGTCACTGCGACGGTTACCAGGGCACTTCGCTCTCCGCCAATCAAACGGCGTTAGCTCATCCCCCACGGCCCACAGCCAATCGGCTTCGACATCAATCATTCAATTGAGCCAATCGGAAACGCCGTGAGCGAGCTGAGGCGGGCACTCGCGGCTCCCGGTTGCCTAACTGTAAAGCTAACAGACAGGAGGGCGGGGCGAATAGGAGATGTCGGCTTGAATGACAGCGGCGTAGCCAATTAGATTCTCTCATTTGTAGAGCCTCGCTCTAAGCATCCAATCGTTGTTGCGAGTGGCCGCCTGGGCGGGGAAAAGAAGGCTGCGCGCGCATTCCGCTGCTATATAAGGGCTGGCGGTTGCCTCACGCAGCCAGAGTCGGTTGGGGAAAGCCTGGGGTTGTAGTGAGCGCTCGGAGCTGCCGCCATCATGAGAGAGATTGTGCACCTGCAGGCCGGGCAATGCGGGAACCAGATCGGAGCCAAGGTCCGGGCGGGGAAAGAGGGCGCGGGGGCGGGAGGGGAGCGCGCCCGGTCCGGCGCGGCCGCCGCTGACGCGCTTCTCTTCGGCAGTTCTGGGAGGTGATCAGCGACGAACATGGCATCGACCCCACCGGCACCTACCACGGGGACAGCGACCTGCAGCTGGAGCGCATCAATGTCTACTACAACGAGGCCACAGGTAGGGCCCGGAGCCGCCCGCCGTGCTCCCCCCGGCCCCCCCCGGCGCGGTGGTCACGGCTCTCCCTGTGTTGCAGGCGGCAAATACGTGCCCCGCGCCGTGCTGGTGGACCTGGAGCCCGGCACCATGGACTCGGTGCGCTCCGGGCCTTTCGGGCAGATATTCAGGCCAGACAACTTCGTGTTCGGTGAGTGCGCGGGGGCGGGAGGAACGGCGGGGTGGGGCAGGGCACTGCGGGGCTGCCCCGCCGCACATGCTCCGAGGCACCGGCCCGGACGGGGGTAATCCTGGCGTGGAATACCGGGATTGCGGCTGCGAGCAGCTCCCAGGTGGCACCAGAGGTCGTTGCTTTTCGGTTCTTGGTTACCACCTCCGTGCGTGCTACCGGGAGAAATGGAGTGGCTGCTGTATCATTGATAATTAATGTTTGCCTGTGTCTGGCGAGCCACTGCAGAGGTGCCTGTGTGAAACCACAGCCCCTGCGCTCGATAAGATGAAAGCTTTCATGGAGCCTGATGCTCTTAGGCTTTGCTTGCGAGCAATAAGCAGGAAGCGGTGACCGTAATCTAATTCGAAAATGGCTCTTTTCCAGGTCAAAGCGGAGCTGGGAACAACTGGGCAAAGGGCCATTATACGGAAGGTGCTGAATTAGTCGATTCTGTGTTAGATGTTGTAAGAAAGGAGGCAGAAAGCTGTGATTGTCTCCAGGGCTTTCAGCTTACTCACTCCCTGGGTGGTGGCACAGGCTCTGGCATGGGTACCCTTCTCATCAGCAAAATCCGTGAGGAGTACCCAGACCGAATTATGAATACTTTCAGTGTGGTGCCCTCCCCTAAAGTGTCAGATACTGTAGTGGAGCCCTACAACGCCACGCTGTCGGTGCACCAGCTGGTGGAGAACACGGACGAGACGTACTGTATCGATAACGAGGCGCTGTACGACATTTGCTTCAGAACACTGAAGCTAACGACCCCCACCTACGGTGATCTGAACCACCTCGTGTCAGCCACCATGAGCGGTGTCACCACCTGCCTGCGGTTCCCGGGCCAGCTCAACGCTGACCTGCGCAAGCTGGCGGTGAACATGGTCCCCTTCCCACGTCTGCACTTTTTCATGCCTGGTTTTGCCCCGCTCACCAGCCGCGGGAGCCAGCAGTACCGGGCTCTAACCGTGCCAGAGCTCACCCAGCAGATGTTCGATGCCAAGAACATGATGGCGGCGTGTGACCCTCGTCACGGCCGCTATCTGACCGTGGCCGCTGTCTTTAGGGGCCGCATGTCCATGAAAGAGGTGGACGAGCAAATGCTAAACGTCCAGAACAAAAATAGCAGCTATTTTGTCGAATGGATCCCTAATAACGTTAAGACAGCAGTCTGTGACATTCCACCTCGCGGCCTCAAAATGTCTGCCACCTTCATTGGCAACAGCACGGCCATCCAGGAGCTGTTCAAACGCATTTCTGAGCAGTTCACTGCGATGTTCCGCAGAAAGGCCTTCCTGCACTGGTACACGGGCGAGGGCATGGACGAGATGGAGTTCACAGAGGCTGAGAGCAACATGAACGACCTGGTGTCTGAGTACCAGCAGTACCAGGATGCCACAGCTGAGGAGGAGGGAGAGTTCGAGGAGGAGGCTGAGGAGGAGGCAGAGTAAAGCTATGCAGTTGGAACACCTGTAAATTTTGTTTAAAGTTGTATGAACTCTCTCATTCAAAAGTTCTGTTTGTGTTGTGTTATTATTGCTGTTTCCGAGTCACTCCCAATGCTGTACAGGCACCATTAAAGCAGTTTTCACAGTGCAAGACCCCGTCTCCTCTGTTCACACCGGTACGATTCCCGCGTACCGTCCCCGTAGGTGAGCCCGTGGATGTCCTGCAGGTCTGGAGCACAAAAACAGTGAAACAATGGGCTTGGCACAAGCACTGCCCCCTTGTCCGTGGTCACTGCCCTTCTGTCCTGCCCTCAGCCAGGTGACGCCTGCTGTGTCGCTGGCTCCTGCTGCTGTGGGGATTGGAGACGTTCCCTGGTGTTCTCTTTCAATCAGGTATTGCTGGAGAGGGGCACATTGAACAGGGAGGGTGGATTTAACTCCAAGCTGTAGCTAAATTTAGGTGCCTGCCTGTGGCCTGGTGCAGCCTGGCCTGGCAGGAGCTGAGCAGGGGTCACTGGAGGTTTGAGCTGCCTGGGCACAAAATGGTGCCACGGAGCTGCCACCCGGCCCTGGCTGTTCTGCAGCTGAGCTGTTAAATTTAGGTGCCTGCCTGTGGCCTGGTGCAGCCTGGCCTGGCAGGAGCTGAGCAGGGGTCACTGGAGGTTTGAGCTGCCACCCAGCCCTGGCTGTTCTGCAGCTGAGCTGCTCCACTGCAGCTCCTCAGTGCTGCTCCACTGCAGCTCCTGAGTGCTGCAAAGCCAGCAGGGAGCCCTGGCCTGGCCCAAGGGTGCTGGCACGCTGTCACAAGTGACACTAAAGCTGACCCTTGCGCGCAGCCCGTCTGCAGAGATTGCAGAAATCACAGCAGAGGTTTTGATCATCAGGTGTTGATGCAGCTGCTGCTGTTTGGGTGAGCTGAGCACCTGACAAGTATCTGACACTGGTTTGTCTCAGGAAAACCCTGTATTAACAGCAGGTATTTTACAATGGCACCAATTCATATGGTGGGTGTCGCTTCAAGTGACAAAGCTGTCACTGAGGAGCTGGACAGGAGGGAGCAGGCTCCTTCCCTGCTGAAAAGTTCTGTTCAGTGTTCTAAATTATAACTGCTTTTGTTTAAAGGTTTTCTGCCTTAATTAATTTTCTCCACCCAGAGCCAGACTGGTTGGAGCAGTTAAAACTGTGCTGACTGGTGGCTCCAGAGGCAGGGAAGTGGGAATGTCTGCAGAGCAGGGCCCAGTGTCAGACCTGCACTCAACATTCTCCTCTCTGGGCTCAGCCTCCCCATCAGCCACAGCCCAGCCCAGCCAGGGCAGTTTTCCCATTCTCAATCCTGCCATATTTCACATCCTCTCCCATTTCCTCCTCTGCACTGCAGCAAGGACGAGCAGTGACTCCAGTTCTTCCCGGCTGAGCTCCATAATTTCCCACCCACATTACTGAGCTGTGACCAAACACAGCAAAGCATCAGTTGCTGATTTGTTGAGATTTTTTAGCCTGGTACATTAATGCTTTCAGGTGCATGGACACACCTTCCCCTTACATACAAAATTCCCCCAGACCTCTCCTGTTAGGCAGCCCAAGACAGGGCTCAGGCAGGGACCTGTCCTGATGCCAAATACAATTTCCCTACACTTCCTATGCTTTCTCAACCCCTTCACACCATCTCCCTTCTCCTTTTTATCAGACTTCAAGCTTTCCAGAGCAAATCCCTTTCCTGCCCCGTGACAGGTGGGATGTCACTGAGCCTGGGCGGGGATGGTGGCTGGGAACGTTAAGCCTGGAGAGGCTGGCACTGGGAAAGATGGGCTCTCCTGGGCATGGCAGAGTTCCAGCAGCTCAGCACAGACCAGAAAAAACCTCCTACCCACGTGGAACACCTCTGTGACTGCTCACTGCTGTGCCACTCCAGCCACTAACAGCGCTACTTAACCCAGTAATTAGTATTAGTGACTTTCGTTTTCGCTCAGCTGATGAACTTACGTGGTACGAAGCCCAAGTAGTTAGGTATGAGTCCAGCACGGCTGTAAATTTTGGTGTCCGGCCAGTGTGTCAGGGGGAATCTCGTGCCCAACGTATAAGGTGGATTTTTCTCCAAAAGCTGGAAAACAAAACAAAAAAGACCCCACAACAACATGGAACGGTTTATTTTAAAACACACTATTTTTACCAAAGTCATGTGCTTTGACTCTGCATTATATAAAATATTTAAGCCAACATAAAGCAATTCTCCTTCTAGTCCTGCTTTCTTCTAATTAAGAGCTACATTGCATTGTCCCTTTTTCCACTCCACAAATTTTTCTCCTGGCAGGTGCTGGCAGCAGTCCCTGCCAGCTCGTCCCCCATGCCCACAGCATGGCTCAGGTGCTGTCCTTGGGATCCCTGCAGAGATTTATTCCCTTGGGGATCATCCCCAAGTCCCAAAGCCTCTGCTCTGCTGTCCCTGGAGCCGGTGTTCCTGTGCTGTGGCTGTTTCCATGAGTCCCACCAGCAGGAACGGCCTGGAATTCCCAGGCCAGGAGGAACAGGAAGGCTTAGGTGGAATTAACTGAAGGAAGAGTGCAAATCATCTCCTGCCCTCTGAGGCCAGACACAGGGAGGGGCTGGGCAGCAGGATGGGTGTCACAGTGTCACAGCCGGGTGTCACAGCTCTGCAGCCACTGAGCCCCTAAAGGTGTCCCTGGAGCTGTGCCTGGGGTGCGCAGAGGGGATGTGGGTCACGGAGCCCTTTGTGCTGGGACGGAGCCGCGCTGTGCCTGCTGCAGGCAGGGAGCAGTGACCCACGGCGCATCTGTACCGAGGACAGCAAAGATTTAGGGCAGCAGATTAGTGGCTTGAAGTCAGAAGCCATCTTAGCTGGAAACGCGGTGTGATTCTCCCTTCAGCGCGTCTGCTCCTCGCTGCTGCCGAGCCCCGGCAGCCCGGAGCGCTGAACCCCGCACGGACGGACGGACAGACAGACAGACAGACACCTCCCCGGCTGACCCACGGCATGGCAGGCAGCGGGGCAGGAAGGCTTGGCAAACAGCACGCTCAGGGATAAATGGCCGGGTTTTGTTCTGTTTGCTCCTTTTCTGTTCCCAAGCACGGCAGCAGGGAAGGAGGCGGAAGGCAGCGCCGGGAAATGCATCTCACCCGAGCAGGACGCTGCCCTGCCGCCCTGCCCCCGTCCTGCCAGCGGCTCTCTGCGAGCTGGGCACCGCACCCGGCCCTGCCCGCTTGTCCTGCACCAGCCCCGGCGAGGGAGGCACGGGTGCCCGGGGAGCAGCAGGGGCCGGGCGCCTCAGCCGGGCTCAGGGCGCTGAGCCGCTGGACCCGAGGGACTGCTGCACCCCGGGATCACACTGCACCCCGGGATCCCACTGCACCCCGGGATCCCTCTGCACCCCGGGATCCCACTGCACCCCGGGATCCCACTGCTCCCCAAGGATCACACTGCACCCCGGGATCACACTGCACCCCGGGATCCCACTGCACCCCGGGGATCACACTGCACCCCGGGATCACACTGCACCCCGGGAATCACACTGCACCCTGCACCCCGGGGATCCCTCTGCATCCCGGGGATCACACTGCACCCCGGGGATCACACTGCACCCCGGGATCCCTCTGCACCCCGGGGATCACACTGCACCCCGGGATCCCACTGCACCCCAAGGATCACACTGCACCCCGGGGATCACACTGCACCCTGGGGATCACACTGCATCCCAGAGATCCCACTGCACCCCGGGTACCCCGCTGCACCCCAGAGATCTCTCTGCAACCCAGGTACCCCGCTGTATCCCGGGGATCTCTCTGCATCCTGGGGATCCTGCTGCACCCCAGAGATCTCTCTGCATCCCGGGGATCCCTCTGCATCCCGGGAGCCTCTCTGCACCCCGGGGATCACACTGCACCCCAAAGATCCCTCTGCATCCCGGGGATCCCTCTGCATCCCAGGATGTCACGCCCTGCTGGGGGCAGGGAGGGACGTGTAGCTCGGAATGCAAGCAGCTGCTGCCGGAGGGATCTCCTTTTCCGTGCTGGAGAATTCTGTGTCATTGTATGGGAGCTCTTACAGCAAGGGGATGACAGTTTTTCAGGAGGGATATTTCTGCACCCTTCCCAAAAGGAGGAGAAAGAAGGTGGAGATCCCTTTAAGAAAAATTGTGTTCGGAAAGGAAAAAGCCTTACAACCAAATAAATGATATATCACAGGAAGTCACCAGCACTGCCAACCAGACAGAGGAGATGCATTCTATAAAGGAAGTGCAGATGGTTGCATCCTGTATTTCTGCACCCAGAGCAACATTTTTAACATTCACTCTTGACCCAGCCCTCAATATATTTCCTTAATCCTTTTATGAACTCATTTACCATCCCTTAATGTCCCAAGGAAACAAGTTACAGAATTAATTGCTGGTGTTTTTTTCAATGTTAACTAACAGCATTTGATTTTGCTTGTACTTGTATCCCAGTTGTAATCCTACTACTGAAAATTCAGCATCAGCATTATACATATTCTCTTTTCAATAATCTGTAATCTACCTGGCGACGGTCAAATTCCTTCATGGCTTTCTTCACAGATGAGAGGTAGGTCAAGCCAACGTTGTCCAGGGAGCAGGGGATGTATCCAGTGTACCCTTGGGTGGAGGCAAAAGAGAACATTTTCTGCTTGAGAACATACAAAGATAATTTAAGATCAACCACACTGGGATGAATATAAAACCTTAAAGTATAGGAAGGAAAAATTAATCTGTTTAAGTTGTAAAATCAACTCTTACATGTGAGGTATCTTCTCTGAAAGAGGTTTTTTTCCTTATGACTCCCAAGGAGAACACAATGGCCTGAACTGATTTTTGTTGGTCTGCATGTGGTATGGAAGAACCATTTCATTTTCTTAGTCCTTTTTTCACATTGACAGCTCTTTCATGTTTTCTCCCAATTTAATACACATTCAGGGGCTAACAATGGGATGTCCAACATTTTTTCCTCATCTCCTCTGCCCATCCAACAAACTCCCACAACAGAAACTTTAAAAGTCTAAAACTACAAAAACCTAGTAAGGTAGAACCTGAAAGCAGCCCAAACTCCCCCTTTCCAAAGGAATGCTTTGGAGAGGGAAATTTGTGTTCTGCACCCTAAAGCCTGGACACTGTCTCATTTTAACTGGAATATTGTGATTGCTGTGATCCTGTCGTGCAGTGCAGAGTGAAGGATCCCCCCTGCTGCAGTGGGATCCTCGAGGGGGATCAGCCCATCACCCTTGCAGCTCTCCTGCTGCACAGGAATGTTCTCCAGGGCAAGGGGAAGATGTGGAGCACCCCTTGCAGGACACAGTTTACACCTTTATGGTGGTGCCACACCTCCCTGCACGTGGATTTGGTGACTCAGGAAAACATCTGATTTCTGGCAGGGTGGGACCAGCTCTCCTCACCACAGCTGCAGGGCACTGAGGTGGTTCCTGAACCCCAGGTGGTCCCTGAATCATCCCAAGGGTGACAGCATCCCAAAGGGTGACAGCATCCCAAAGAGTGACAGCATCCCAAAGGGTGACAGCATCCCAAGGGTGACAGCATCCCAAAGGGTGACAGCATCCCAAAGGGTGACAGCATCCCAAGGGGTGACAGCATCCCAAAGGGTGACAGCATCCCAAGGGTGACAGCATCCCAAAGGGTGACAGCATCCCAAAGGGTGACAGCATCCCAAGGGGTGACAGCATCCCAAAGGGTGACAGCATCCCAAGGGTGACAGCATCCCAAAGGGTGACAGCATCCCAAAGGGTGCAGCATCCCAAGGGTGACAGCATCCCCCACAGTGACAGCATCCCAAGGGTGACAGCATCCCAAGGGTGACAGCATCCCAAAGGGTGACAGCATCCCAAGGGTGACAGCAAAGAAACGCCCTTGCAGGGAGAGCAGCAGGGATATTTCCATCCCAAACAAGCTGGAGCCACTGGGCAAGGCCACAGAGGTGTCCCCATGGGGAGAAGGGTCACATCCTTTCCTAGAGGTGGCCTGGTGCTGCAGGAGGCCTGGCTGTGCTTTACCTAGGGTGGCTTTCTGTCGGATGGCATTTGGGACAGGCAGCACTGGCAGTGTGTAATCTGCTGTTGCAACCCCTCCTGGCAGTGCCACACCTCCGGTTTCCAGCTGCTTGAAACAAAAAGAGAAATAAGATCAAACACCAGTAAAACCCCCTCAGCTCTGCTTAAATCACTGCCGGGACTGGGAATGGCAACTCCCAACTGCCACTTCCAGTTCTGCCCAGCTCCACTCCAGGAGCCACCCCAGCCACTCTGGGAAAGCCAAATGACGAGATGAGCAAGCAGCAGACCTAGAAAGGGTTTGCAAAATCCTCATGCAGAACAAGGGAGCTTTGGGCACTGAGCTCCTGTGCAAATCTCTTTCTGAGGGCAAGGAGCAGGAATGCCCCTTCTTGGGATTTACATCCAAGCCAGCTCTTGACTCCATACGTCAAACCTCTAATCTCTGCCTTCAGAGGATTTGCAGAGCCACGGCTGCAGGAACGTGACAAAGGCTGTCGCTGGCTCCAGAGAAAAGAAATGTTTTATTAAAAATAATAAATATAATAATAATTAAAGAAAAAAAACACAAAAAATCACCAAAAACAAACAAACAAACAAACAAAAAAGAACAACAACAACAAAAAACCAACCAAAACCCAAACCAAAACAAAAAAACCCCAACCCTCACCAACCAACCAAAAAGAACACCATAAAACATGTTGGTCTGGAGGGATATTTGGCTGTGCAGTGCTCAACAGCCCCCAGCTCCACAGGCAAATCCCAGTCCTGGTGTTCAAAGGAGAGGTAATGATGGTGTGAAATTCAGGTGGGGGCAGATACAGGGTCAGAAACCCGACCAAAGGTGCTGGGACTGCTCTGTTTTTGCGGGGAGGAGGAGGATGAGGAGGAAGGCAGCATCAGGGCTCCGAGAACACCCTAAGGAAGCACAAGCCTGGCTGGCCAGCACAGCACAACACAACTTTAGGGACTGGGATTGAAGCCAAATGCACCCAAATGAAAAATTAAGCCTTTTTGATTGGGAAGTGTAATTAAGGATCAAAACCATTTCCTGAAGATGGAGTAGATTTGCTGCTGCTGGAAACATTTGTGTGTCTATCCTTTCTCTACAAAAACTCCTAACTTTGTGCCCTTGCCATGTGTTGGATTGAGCCCTTTTCTGACCCAGAGTTGGGGCAACTGAGAGGCGTTTTAAAAACTTTTATTCTATTTTCAGTCTCACGTGAAGGGTGAGATAATGCAGATGTCATTATTTACGCTGTTACAATTAGAAGCTCTTTCATAATTACAGTGCACTATAAGTGTTTTTTTTGGCTTATTAGCTTTAGCCACACCGTGCTGTAAATGCTTTAAAGCTTCTGATTGTAATGGTGTGAATTATAACATCTGTATTATCTCGCCCTTCAAATGAGACTGAAAATAGAATAAAAGTTTTTCAAACGCCTCTCAGTTGCCCCATCCCTGGGTCAGAGAAGGGCTCAATCCGACAGGCACCCACACCCACTGAGATCCCCTCCTCACACCCCCAGCCCCCTCCCAGAGCCACTCACCATGTTGCTGCCTGCACAGTTACAGGGGCAGGTTCCAGTCCCTTTTCCCAGGAGCTGGGCCAGGGGGGCCATGGCCAGCTCCCTGTCCATCTCCTGGGCTGCAGGGTGCAGGGCCAGCCCCTGCAGCGGCTCCGGAGGGCTCTGCTGGAGCCCGGGCACGGCCAGGGCCGGGGGGCACTGCCAGGGCTGGGGCTCCAGGGGGGTCAGCACTGGATCCTCCAGCACCGTGGGCACGGGCTGCGGCCCCAGGGGCGCCTCAGCAGGGCTCGTGATGGGCTGGTAGGTGACATATCCTGAGGGACAGACGCCGAGTTAGGGGACAGGAGGATGAGGGATTCCCTTATCCCCGTGCCCTGGGAAGGAGCCTGGAGCCAGCGGTGTAGAACCAGAACAGCTCGACTTGGAAGAGACCACAAAGATCCACTCCGAGCGCATCCCATGGCTGTGTCACCAGCCCCATCAATAAAGCAGCCTGCACAGAGAACCAGCACAAATCCCGGTTAAATAGCACTTATTCCAACTGTCACCAAAACGGTCAAATATCACCAGCCAAGCTAGAAAGTTGTAAAGGGGGGAAAAACCCTCAATCCTTAACTCCAGGTGGCTGTGTCAGCCCACCCCAAACAGAGCCCCCTCCAAGGAATTCTTGCTCTGGCACCATTGCTGCTCATGGAGGAAAGAATCTGCTGTAACACTGGCTGGAAAAAAATTATCTTACATCCAGCAAATGCTAAATATCTCCACTGTGAACAAGGGACAGAGCCCTGCCATTTGAGATTCTGCAGGGACAGCTGGGCTTGGCAACTTTTGTCTGATTTCCCCTTAAAAATCCCTCCTGACGTGGCTCCCCAGGTGCCCCAGCCCCGTGTGACCCCTGGCTCAGGCACTTTCTCTGTGAATCCCATTTTCCCCTTCTCTGCAGTTCCAGACGAGAATCACTCCCCCACCCCACAGCCACCTTTCCTTCTTGGAAAACTGTTACTGTGTCAGCCTGGGCTTTTTAAAACAAACCAAATTCCTTCCATTTTTGTGCTCACAGGCCATTTTTTTTCCAGGTCATTACAGCCTTCCTCTGAGCTCCCCTTGGGAGCACATCTGCATCCCAGGGCTGAGCCCAGGGAATGAGGAGCCTCTTCCAGCAGAGGCTCCATCTGCAGACAGCCCCTTCCTCTGCAGTGCTGGATTAGTGCTGGACTCAGTCTTAGAGGTTTTTCCAAGCTGAATTATTCCATGATTTCTGCAAATCTGCAGAATTCAGCAAAATCTGCCCTTTTCTACATGACTATAAATTTCTGATGGGCATTTAGGTGTTCAATCTGCCCACAACTACATAATAATGTGTGTATATATTCTGTATACAGCTTTGTGAAATATACATTTTATATATATATATATATAAAATGTGTATATATACACATAATATATGTACACCAAAATAAAGAAAAATCCTATATATATATATATATAGATAGATAGATATAGATATATATTCAATTGCTCTATGCAACTGAATTATCAAGTGTCCAGGCTGGCACCAAAATAAAGAAAAATCCTATATATATATATATAGATAGATAGATATAGATATATATTCAATTGCTCTATGCAACTGAATTATCAAGTGTCCAGGCTGGCACCAAAATAAAGAAAAATCCTGGATTAAAATAAGTTTTCAATCTAATGTGCAAATTTTAAAGTGGTTTTATTTTTTTACTTCATTATTAATAAGCATGTTGAATCTACTCTTTCTCCCACAAACCAAAGGAAAAGAAAACTTAGGTTGCTCTGTAGAGCTGCCCTGGCCCAGCCCCAGCTGTCCCTCCTCTTCCCCAAGAGCAGAGCCTGGCTGCACTTCCAGCAAGAAAACAAATGGGATTGAACTGATAGAAACTGGCAAAGCACTTGGAGCCCATCAGTGAGACTTTATCAAAGCCAGGCCTTGAGAAAAATCTTGAGACCGAGTTTGCTAAAGGCGGCCACAGTCCTGAACTCTTTGATCACCATCACATGAAACAGCCAGGAGGGCACCAGGCAGCACCTGGGCAGGGTTGAAGGATTGCTCAGGGCCAGCAGGAGCTGTTGGTGACCTTATCAGCACAGCCAGGGCTGGCTCTTCAGGACCTCACCAAGGAGCAGCAAACACGAGCACCACTGGCAACCAGGAGAGAACCCAAATAATGAGAGAGCAACTCGGTCAACTGGTTAGTTGGGTCTGTCCGAGCTGTATTCTAGACCAAGGAAATGCAAATTCAAATCTCCAGGAATGAAGCCTGTAAACACCACCTGTGTATTGGAGGCCTGGATGCTGGAAAACAGGGCCAGGAGGAGCAGAGAGGCCACAAGCTTGCACGAAGCTGCACAACACAAATTCCCAGTGAGAAATGAGAGAGCAACACTTGGGTGTGGCCATCCCCAGGGAAATAAAGACCCAGATCCCACAGGGGCACATCATCCCTGTGTTCAGCCTGGGAGAAACTCACTCCCACTGTCCAGGGCATCCACAACATCCAAACGTGTCCCCAAAGGGTGGCACATCCCCAGGGGCTGATCAGGCAGCCCTGCTGTGCCTGCCTTGGGGACCAAGCACTGCACACAGGGCTGGGACTTGGTAGGAGATTCCTGCAAATTCCCTGTGCTGGGAATCCACACAAGCCTGTCTGTGCTTGATGGAGGAGATGGGGCCTGCTAGCAAAGTGGAAAGGGAAAAGAGGGGGAAAGAGGGGGAAAGAGGGGGAAAGAGGGGGAAAGAGGGGAAGCACAGGAGCCCTTCTGCTGAGCTGAGGAGGAGCAGCAAGAAGCAGAATCAAGGCCAAGCTGTCAGAGCTCAGAGCAGAGCTGTGCACCAGACAGGTGAGCCAGAAAAGAATCTGAGGTAGGAGACCAGACCTTCCCCAGAAAGATGGATTTCAGCCTGTGGAATTGTGCTGGGTTTGACTGGGATTGAGGTAATTTTCTGTATAGAATATCATACAGGCCATGGTTTGGATTTGTCAGCAGGCAGCTGCATGGGTTTAGTTGCCAGCCAGGGTTAAACCACAGCAGGAATTCTGGAAGAATTGGGGAGTGAGTTAATGATATGCCATAAAATCACTTATCTTCATCTAACTGAGGATAACCTGGGAACTGAAACTCTCCTCTCCATAACACCAGAATCCCCATCCTCATCCTCATCAGCTGAGGCCCAGAGCTGCAGCACCTCACTGCTCTCCAGCTGTCAGAGCTCCTGCACCAGAGCCGTGATTGCTCCAAGGAAAAGATCCCATTTCATCCAGCAGCCTCCCAAGGACAGATGGGCACAGACCCCACTAGTGCTCATTAACACTGTGCTCATTAGCAGGGTCCATTTGCTCACCTGGATGGTCGATGTGGTAATGGTACTCCAGGAGGTTTTCCTTGTTGTCCAGGGGTGCCAGCAGGGAGCGAGGGCTCTTCCTGACACTGGGATCTGTCAGCAGATGGTGGGTGGTTCTTCCATAGGTGTCCCCAAAGGTGAAGGTGAACTGGGGAACGTAGCCCCCATAGCTGAGGAGGAAACCAGAAAGGAGCCATCACTGAGGTGGCAGTGGGGGACTGCACTGGTGGGGTGATCATGGAATCCCAGACTGGTTTGGGCTGGAAGGGACCTTAAAGTCCTTTCAGTTCCACCCCTGCCACGGCAGGAACATTTTCCACTGTCCCAGGCTGCTCCCAGCCCTGTCCAGCCTGGCCTTGGGCACTGCCAGGGATCCAGGGGCAGCCACAGCTGCTCTGGGCACCCTGTGCCAGCCCTGCCCACCCTGCCAGGGAACAATTCCCGATTCCCCATATCCCATCCCTCCCTGGCCTCTGGCAGTGCAGATGTGCTGCAGTGTCTGCACCCTGGACAGGCCCTGTCAGGAGCCCAGGGAAGGTGAAGGATGGGATGAGCCCGGGGGGAGAACTGAGACCACACGTGTGCTCACACAGGAGCCAGGAGGGAGTGCCTGTGTTTCACACGCATGTTCTCCTCTGGCAGCACAAAAACTGGCTCATCAATTCACAGGCATGTACAGGCACAGGCCCTTGGTTCATGCAGAAACACGGGTGAGGTCAGGGAGCAGCATCTGTGGATGGGAAAACTCCCAGCACAGCCTGGGCTTTGGCAGCTCCAACATCCACAATCCCCCAGTTAAAATACCATTTAAATGTGCCCCAGTTTAAACCTTGCAGTGCCTCTCTGCTCTGACACACCTTAACTGAGAAAATCCCAGTGATTCTTGTTCAGTGTTGAAACTCAAAAATCAGGATAATTCCTCTCTTGCAGCCCCTCTCTCTGCTCACAGCGAGGAGGGGCCCAGGCTGATGAGCCCCCCAGGCACTGCAGGGAGGGTGGTCAGTCCCAGGAACAAACACAGCTGTGTTTTTTGGGATCTCTCCACTGCCAGTCCCTGGGCTGGGCACTGTGACTTGCTGGTGGCCAAGGGCAGGGCAGGTGCTGGAGCTCTGGCTCTGCTCCGAGACACCATCAGAAACTCGAGCTGCTCCAGTCTCAGATTTCCTAATGGTGATGTTATTCCAGCACTGAAGAAAGGTAGAGCAGCCAATTGCAATGAACAGAAATATTCCATCAATGAGCCCAGCGTGGATCCGGGGATAAAGCCAGATGATGCATGAGGATCATAAGATGATGAGTAAGTCCTTTCCCTTCCAAATAGTTTAAACTGCAGCCAGCAGAGCTGTGCATTTACTCCTGGCAGGTTTCCCCACTCTGCAGGCAGGATTCCTCCTGGAGCAGCTCGGTGCCTCATCCCCAGGGATTCTCAATGAGTCTTGCAACACGGATGATAAACTGAGCAAGGGCACAGATGACACAGCCCCAATAATTACAGGATGGCTGGAGGGATTTTGATCATGGACAAAATAATGGCTGGGCTGAGCCAGGGCCCTGTTCCCCTGCAATTAAACACAAGAACACCCGAGCGAGTCGGGATCTGCCACGAGGGAGTCACAAGTGCTGCTGGTAAAGCCTGGGCAGGGCCCAGCCTCAGCAGGGCTGTCTGTGCCCCCGTGCTGGAGGCTGATGCAGGACCCCCTTTTGGGGAGCCTGTCTGGGCTCAGGCTGCAGTGAGACCCCTCTGGCCCGAGGCTGAGCCTGTCTCACCCCCCTTGCTCAGCCCTATCTCCTCCATCACCACTCCCAGGCTGCCACCCAAACCTGCTCTGCCTCCCCGGCTGCCAGCACAGCCTTGGCCCTGGGCCATCGTCTCCTGCCTCCAAACCCTTCCCAGCTCTGCAGGGCCAGGCTGTGCCCAGGATTCATGGACTGACCCCTTCTCTGCCCACCCAGGCCTTCCCAAGCCATCCCACTCGCTGGGTTTAGGCTGCCCAGTGCTCTTGAGCACTGTGGTGGCTTCCCAAGCTCCTGCTGTGACATTGCCTGGCCCGATGACAACAAGGTGCTTTGGTGCTCTCGGGGTTTGCAGGTTCACTGCCACAGGTGGGTGCAGCACATGGGACACCTGGGGACATCCTGGACACAAAGCCTCCTCCTGTGACACCCCAGGGCAGGGCTCTGCTGGTGATGCCCTTCAGGCAGCTCCTCCTCATCCTCAGCACCCACGGGGGCTCAGGGGGTGCCCTGAGCCTGCACAGCACCAACAAAAGCAGCAGCAGGGTTTGCCTCCTCCTCCTCCTCCTGAGGCCAAAGCAGCTCCAAAGAGGAGCAGCCCCGGCTGCTGTGTCCATCCCGGGGCTTGGAGCTGCTCCTGAGGGAGCTGCAGGCAGGCAGGGGTGAGCAAAGGAAGGTGTTGAGGCTTTGGGGGCTGCAGTTCCAGCCACAGCTCCCTCCTTGCTGTCCCTCGTCTTTCCCAAGCCGCTGGCAGCACAGCTTTGATGGCACACAGGAAATGTCACATCAGATGGCCAAAGCAATGCAAAAACGAGTAAAAAACCCCCAGGCTCAGAGCTTATGTAAGTGGGAAGGTGGAGAGATCAGTAATGGAAAATCCTGCCTGTCACTCTGTGGGGAAGGGCTGGTTTGGTCACCACTGCAGGAGCAGCCCTAGGGAAAGGTCTCCTCCCTCTCCCTGGGGCTGGGATGTGCCTCCCGCTGGGGATGTGCCTCCCCAGGCCTGCCCTGCACACATTCCCTGAGCCAGGGCTCACCTCAGCCTGGGCTGATCCCAGGGATTTCACACCCACATCCTTTCCCCTGGGGCCACCCAGCCCTTCCCAGCCCTTTGCACATCCCAGCCCAGGTCCCACCACAGGACCCCACACACAAAGTCTTGGTTCACAGCAAATCCCAAATTCCTGCCATTCATATCTTACCTTCTCCCCTGTAACTCACTGCCTCCTATCCAGGCTTTCTTCCTTCCGAGCCTTTAGAGGAGTGTCACAAAGAGCTTTGGGAAGAAATCCAGCTACTTATGGAGTAGATGACAAGAGTTCCCAGCCTCTGACCCAGCAGCAGGACAGGGCTCCAGCCCAGTGACCAGAGGGTGTCACATCTGTACCACCCTTTAGTCAAAGGAGACTTCCAAACATCCTTGGTGCAAATATTGACAGTTTGGAAGCCAAACCCTGCACAGTAGCTCTGCTGACATTTGGCAGCTTAAAAGAAATGGGGAAAAAGAGGGGAAAAGAGCCATTTTGGCTTTGCTGTCCTTGGCACGTCTGTTGCTCTGCCCTCTGCAAGGTGCTGTTTCCCTGGAGTGCTGTCTCCTTCAGACCATAGTTACACAGAATATTGAATAGTGTCTTTAAAAAAACCCCAAAACACCCTGAGTCATGAACACTCCCTGACCCCGACCAGAGCCACGTGCATTGGAAGAGGAGGTTTTGGATGAACTCACCCAGGGATGTGGTAGGGGTTTTGAGGGAAGATGCTGCTTCTCTTGAAGCCTGCCATGACGATGTTGCAGCTCTTGGTGGGGAGCGGGGAAGGAGACACAGCTCAGAGCAATCTCCAGGGGAGCCTCTGTGATGTCAGCCCCCAGCAGGTTCCACCTGCAGCACAAAACCCCTCAGCTGCTCCTGGACACAGCTCTTTCCTTCCCCATGTTTTGGAGGAGCACAGGAATTCTACATTTGTCAGCTTTCCTGAGGGCCCCAGCCCTGGGCCCAGCAGTGCCAGGAGCCCCCTGGGATGGCCCCAGCACAGCCAGGTCCATGCTCACATCCCCCCAGGGCTCTGCAGGGCTCCCTCACCCCCAGGGACATCGAGGCCACCCCTGCTCTGGCTCCCTGAGGATTCCCTGCTGGCTCCTGCAGGATGAAGGTTGTTCCCAGTCCAACACACGGCCTTGCTGGGTTTGTCCCTGCCCACAACAGGGGCTCCTGTTTGCTCCTGCCCAGTATTCCAACTAACCCTGCCTTCCTTCATCTCCCTGTGCACTCCATGCCCTCATACACCCCCTGTACATTGAGTTAATCAGCCCCCAGATCTTTGGGAAGAAAAACATGGAATATTTTCCATGTGATCTCAGGACTGGTCACTGGTGCAGTTTAAACTTCTTGCAAATGAGATGTTTGAATTAAAAATTAAGTATGAACAAGCTTGGCTTTCAGACATCCCTGCCCACCCAGACTGAACTGAGTGTTCTTCAGCCCTTCAAAAGTATGTAGTAACTTCTGAAGCTGAAAATTATTAAATTTTCTCCCTCAATTCCCCTCCCAGCTGACTGGAATTGCAATTGGAGCTGCAGCCATGCTGGTACTTGAAGTAGTTGTTCTGTTTGTCATGTGTGGGATAAGGAGACTATCAAGTACTTACCATGTAAGTTTTAAAATCAGTTTTTCCACCAATCTTGGGTCTTTTTGTAATTTTCTGTGGTAGTTGTTTGCTGCAGATGTGTGCAGAGCTGTGGTTCTTGCAGGACAGCAGCTTTAAAGGTGGAGAACTTGTGCTGGCTCCCTTGCCCAGGTGTGAGCCCAGAAGTGTCACATGCAGGACCTGGAGGTTTTATTTCTTTGGGGTGTGAGCAGTGTCAGCCCCAGGACCAGCTGTGAATTCTGCAGATGAATTCAACCCTACTGTGGTTTCACTGTCACAGATGGAGAAATGATTGAATTCGAGGTTTCCTTGAGGAGATTAAAACCACCCAACCCTTCAGTCTGTCCAGAGAGCCCTTTATCTCCTCTGGGCTGAGGTGGAGCCTCAAGGCAGCCCTGCCTGGGCCTGGCTTGGCCAGAGCTGGGAATGAGGGATGCCAGGGTGGTTGAGGTTGCAAACCCTGCCCACAGGAGCTGTTCTGGAGGCAGCAAAGTCCCCAGGCTGTGCTCAGGTGCTCTCCCAGCTGCTGCAGGTGGTTTCTGATGTGGTGCTTCTGTTTCAGAACAACTTCAGCCCCACGTGCCTCAGTACAGGTTTCGCAAGAGGGACAAAGTGATGTTCTACGGGAGGAAGATCATGAGGAAGGTGAGGGCACCTGGTGAAATCCAGTGTGAAGTGGAGAGGTGTCAAGTTTGCAACACTTTACTGGCTGAGCCTGGCCCAGGGCCTTCAACCCATAAATCTCACTGGGATGTTGTGGATGTTTCAGAGCTCCTGCAGGACTGACTGCATTGCTGATGGAGCAGCAGCAGCTTCTCATTCTGGCCACACCTTTCCTCTTTCAAGAAAATGGAATTGATTAAATGTTCCAGAATCCCAGACTGGTTTGGGTTGGAAGTGACTCTAAAGATCATCTTGTTCCACTACCCAGATTGCTCCAAGCCCCATCCAAGCTGGCCTTGGGGACACTTCCAGGGATGGGGTATCCACAGATTCTCTGGACCACCTGTTGAACATCTGAGGGTGGTTCTTACCTGTTAAGGTGCCTAATTTCCCTCAAACTTATGTCTGAGAAGATCAAAATGCTGTTTTGACTCCTGCCCTTGGTGCCTAAATGGAGAGATCTGGTTATTTTCAGCCTAAAATGTATTTGAGCTTGCCCAAATTTGACTCCTGCCCTTGGTGCCTAAATGGAGATCTGGTTATTTTCAGCCTAAAGTGTATTTGAGCTTGCCCAAACACCCGAGCTCAGAGCAGGGCAGCCCTGCCCAGCCAGCCCAGGGCTGCAGGGTGGGTGGCTCTGCCAGGGGCACAGTGCCTCAGCTCCCAGGGGCAGTGACAGACCAAGGGGCAAAGGCACAGGATGCAAGGGAAAGGCCCACCAGGCACAAGGATAAAGATCTTCATGGGCACAGAACAGCCCTGGGACAGGGTCAGGGATGGCATTTCCAACCCTGGAAATTTTCGAAGCCCAGAGCACCCCAAGGGAACTTAGAAATCAGCTCAGCTTTAAGTGGGCATGTTGGTAAGGGACCTATAAAGGCTTCTCCCAGCCTAAAGCATCTGATTTGAACACTGAGATGAAAAAGCTGTTTATTGAAATGCAGCACCAACCAACAACCCCAGGCCCACTGAGGTCCCACCAGCACAAGGGGATTTGGGCCAGAACTTTTCCAGCATTTCCAGAAACTCCCTTAAAAAAATCTTTTTTTATTGGTCTGTGGCTGCCCCCTCCAACCCCAGGGGTCACATCCTCCCCAAAGAGCTACTGAACAACCACACCAAAGTGTCATTTCTCAGGGCAGACACCTGGGTACATAAAAAAGAAGTGGAAATTCACTTTTATCAAGGTTATCGTTAGAATTTATTGATATGAGACAAACTTTGTATGTCACCATGTCAATGGAGGAACAGCATGTCCAATGTCACAGAAGCACAGAGCCCACCCAGGGACTCTCCCTGCCCTGGGAGCTCCCAGCTCTGGAGCACAGGAGGCCACACACCCAGCTGGGTGGCACTGGGGACATTTCCTGGGCAGGAATGCTCCAGAAATACCTTGGCTGAGAGGATTGCCAGACTGCAGCACCCAGCAGGGACCTGCTGGCTCTGACTCCAGCAGGGAAGGGCAGCTCACCCCAAGCCCCTGCAGTCACAGGGGGAAAAGAAAACCTAACAGGAGGTGAGATTCCAGGAATCCCTGCAGGAGATGAGAGCACTTGGGCCCTCTGGCTCCTCAGCCCTGAAGGGGCTCAGAGGAGCAGCTGGGGTGGGGACAGATCCCCAGCAGGACAGCCCAGGCATGGCTGGAGCCTTCCCAAGGAGCAGACACAGCCATGCCATGCTCCAGCCTGGCATCTGCCCATTCAGAAGCAGGGTTTTTCTTTTAGCACAATTGTGCCTGTGTTGTAACCACTCAGACATTCCCCTCTCAGCAGTGCCCTCCCTCAGCACAGCCAGCCTGTCATCTATGCTTGTGGCTATGACGAAAATTATCTTTATCATCTTTACTGGAAATACATTTTATGCTGGATTCTACTTAAAAAAGCCAAGTGCTGAGCTTTCATCTCCTCCCAGCTTATGAAATATTTGGTTTGGTCCTAAGTATCTTGCTAAATGATTAGAGGGAATAGCAGAGTATTCCCCAGGCACCTGGTAAATCCACAATGGATTTATTGTAGAAACACACTAAATTCTCTAACTCACTCCAAATGGATTTCAGAGCCCTCTAAAACCCTGCAGAGAATGAGCTGTTTGTGACAGGACACACAAAAAGCAACCCCAAGTTCAATGAGTAACCGAGATAAAGGACAGGCCACAGCAGGGGATGTGCCAGCCCAGCCCCTGTGACAGGGCAGGGACAGCCTGGCCATGGCACCAACCTGCTGCACACCTGGAGAGGAACCTCAGGCTCCAGACACACACGTGTGACCTGTGTGCTCCTCCTGTCCCTTTCCTGGGAGCTGTGACAAGTGACAGAGAGGGCTCTGCTCTCAGCCATCTGGTTCCACCCAGTCTAAGTTCCCTCTCACATTGATTTAGAGATCTCATATTGATGGGTAATTATACAGGATTAATTGCACATCAGTCCATTGTGGCTACAAGTTCATTAGGTTAATAACTCTACATAGTGACAGTAGTACAGTATCAGCTACTTCTCAATACAAACTCCCTACCCTAACCTTAATTTGTAGGTCAGAGGAAGACCTTCTAACACAGTGACCTCCCAATAACCTTTAACATTCATTTCAAAATCATTTTTTCTAGAAAACAAAAAAAAAAATCCAGTGTGGGGAAAACGCACATATATAACCAAAGCAGTGCTTAACAACCACAGGAAAACAGAACATCATCTTGGACTCTTGTTTCAGCATCTTCTGTGGACCCTGGCAGTGTCACTCCCAAAGGGTTCCTCAATGCTCCGTCAGTTCCCAAGTCCATTAAACCATTTCCCAGCTCCAGATGTTTCTGGCCTCTCACCATTGTCTGTAGCAAGAGCACACAGAAACACTTGCTCATGTGCACAAGACTTCCATCAGTTTCCATGGAAGAGCTCTGGAAGGCTGCAGCCTTTGTTCCAGAAACCTGCTCAAGTGGCAGCGCTCTCACCGACCGGCGCCTTCTCTTCCAGCCAGGAGAGAGCTCCAAGTCCCTCCAAGCTTTACTCATTCCTTCTGCCCAAAGCTGTATGGGTATCCAATAAAACCCCTCTCACAGTATTCCCAGGAAATGATTCAGAAGAGGAGATGATTTTTCAACCAAATGAGACCCTCTGGTCCTGTGTGTCAGACCATGGCCAAGAGAATGAGCAGCTGCCATGGACATCCCAACTGAAATAGTCAGGGGAGCGAGGTGGCCTGACTGAGGGACAGGCAAAGAGACCCCAAAGTCACTCTGTTCTCGAGTCTGCCTCTTTCCCAGAGTCAAATGTTGGATTCCATTTGTTCTAGCAGGAACTGGTGGATCATGTCAAAAGTGGGACGATCTTTGATATCCCTGCTCCAGCATTTCAGCATCAGGTCGAACACAGGGTTAGGACACAGAGGAGTCTGGGACAGGTAGATCTGAAAGGAAGAGCCACAGTGTTTCAGTGGGGTTCTCACAAAAGAACTGAACCTTTACTCAAGTAACACCAAAAG